AGTGACCAAAGGGTAATATAGTTTTTGGTTCAATCCCTTATGGTTTTTAATGTTTACTGCCGTTTTATTGCAGACTACATTTAGACAGCTTACCAATGTTGCAATCATTTAAAAAACGAAATCATTTTAGCAATTCCATTTTTCTGATAAATAGCATTAGAAGTAAAGCAGTTATGAACTCTTAAATAATATTATAACTGAACAAAATGGACGTGACTCAGTGTAAAGAAAATGTAAAGACGTTAGATGGGAATAAATAGATGAGATAAAAAGCTTTGTCTGAATACACTGATTTCATGTTTTGCTTATACTAATTAGTAGTCAAATTCCATATAGGTTAGACTGAAAAGTACATGACATTAACACAACTAAAAACTTAATGTATAAAAAATTTACATTATCATAAGACTGATGATTAATAAATATAACTTAATTGCTAGATTATATAATTTTTTCTTACTAACAAATGACTTTAATAACCAGCCTATTAGGGTTTGGTTTAGTCAACAATCTGTAGCAAATAAAACATTTCTAATCAAATTTAAAGTCTAACTTCAGTCATTTCACGATACTGCACAGTTATCGTCCATTTTGCTGTATAACTCTCATACTCAAATTTTAAAGGTTGATATTGATTATTTTTAATCTAGTATAACTGTAATGAATGAAAACTCAGGTAAGGAAGATCAACTTATAATTGGTTGTAGAATTACAAAGCGTCTTGGTAAATTATGAAAACCATACATTGCATACTTCATTTTCATATCTTCTGTTAGTTATCCCTGACAAACTTCGTCTTTCCTTCATTCCTTTTGTTATTTTCAATAACTCCCTGCTTACATTCCTGTTCCTTTCAATTTAATCTTATCAACCTTCCGCAATCAGGCCTTCCACTTCCGATTAGTGTTACATACTACTTATGTCTGTCGACACTAATGATTCTTTGTTCTTGTTCTCTTTTCTTTGATCTTCTTTGTTGGGGGCGTTAGATCCTCAGAATTCACTTGGCAAAGGACCTAGTTTTGTAATTTTATTTAGAAAATTTGAATTTCTTTATTTTCGCACCAAAGGCGCTCTTGTCACCTTCATGGCGTATTTCCCACTGGGAAATATCTTAAATGCTATTGGTCCGTTGCGTCTCTTAGTATGCTATTTGGTAACTCTCCCCAAGGACGGTTTTGTACTGTATATGTACGTTTTGAATTATGTTTGTTGTTATCGCTCGTTTCTGGCTGTTTACAGAATATACTTCCCCATTCCAAGCTTGAAGTTCTCCCTCTAGTTAGCGTGACTGGGACACATCAGTAGCTAGCTTACTGGTCTTTAGTCACCGAGTCTTGCTTCTCGTTCGCAGATTAAGTGAACTCGTTATAGTTTCAACCCTAGTATTCTTAACCTTCAACCTCCAGATATTTTACTTTCAATGAATCATACATACTACTTATATCTATTGACATCAGTAGCACACATCACGATCATTTGTTTCAATTAAACATTCTAATTATTATTAAAAAATGAATTGAATTCAATGTCTATACTTCTTATCATGTCATTTATTTAATAAACAAATCAGTATAGTTTTTTCTCATTTGTCTACTTTACTATAAACAATCTATAGTTAGTACTTAGGTTTTGTCAACTTTTTATTCTTGTAAAGATTTAATTTTCAATCTAAATGCAAATTTTCACATTTATATTGTAGATTTATGGTTGACTGATTATTTTACATTGATTCATATGTTTTAATTCATTTTCAATTCATTTTAACATTTTTTTTTCTACACTGTCATCTGCTTACTTTTAAATCATTTTTCTTTATTATTAAAATAAAAATGCCTTTTATAATCAGTAGACGATGAACAAGACTGATCAAACATTTTGTATGTATATGCATATAATTGTGTAAATACATGTAAAACTATTGTTTCTATTATTTAGTTAAATTGTATGCTATTATGAATATGAATAGAGGTTAAATGGTATATTACAGAAAACTATTCATTGAGACATCATTAGAATGTATATATTTATTATTTTCAGTCTAGGTAAATTCTAAAATGTTTCAATAGTTTTAGCATGTTAACTCTCCATAATCAAACACAAGTTTCTCTTATTTGTATATTGAAAATAACTAGTTTTTTTTTAAAAAAAGAAGGATGTTCACAGATTATATATGGTACAGTTTACCCCACAAACTACTAATATCAAGCAGAATAGATAAAACGAACAATAACGATTCTACTATAGTTCGATTTCTACGAGTACTTAAGTTGAAGATCCGAGTATAATCTATAGTCTAACTGTATAAAACTTTTAAATTGATTAATCTGTGTATTGTTTGCTCTGATTACTACCATGACTTACTTCAATATTCAAGTAAAAATATATTAATGTCACTCAGATATGTTTGTTACTCGTTTTTAACTAGATCATATTCACTGATTACACAGACCAATACTTGTCAAGTCGATAGCTGAATAATTCTTTTGCTTCTCAAGAAAACTAACGCTGTGAAAGCGTATTCAGTTTAATTAAACTGAGAATGCTTACTATCGAGATTGTATTGAAATCACGAACTGATTTGAGTTAGACAATCAATGAAAACCTTGAAGTACTGTCTGACTGTTTCGTCCTAGCACAGAAGTGTGCATTTTCAACCCTGTAACCGGGAATAAAACCTAGAACCATCAGTCTCACGTGCAAATGCTTAACCTCTAGATCACTGATCCGGTATCCAACTACGTACAAATCTAAATTCAACCAAACCACAATATTGCATATCCATCTTTCATTTTCTTCGGTGGGTAACCTCTTCATACCCGACACACTTTGGCTCTACTGGTTACGGCTTCTAACTAGAACTCTGGAAATTTTCTTCCAAAGTGAGGAAGATACCCACCGAAGAAAGTGGAGGGTGATCAGGTAAACATTTAATTATGCTACACATTTCTAATTTATTTACTGTAGGATAAGTTAAATAACATTCTAAATAATCATGAAAACTAGAAATTCAATTATTGATAACTATTGGAAACGTTTCCCGGCAGTTGTAGTCTGATCATAAAAAAATCTATCACAAATGCTCGTCTGTTATTTATACTACCTGTGTAACAGTTACGAACACTGATCTAAATATATGATCTTCTCATTACTATCGACAAAAACTTTACTATTTAGCCAGACCAACTGAATACATTCACTTACTGTTAAGTTCGTTTGTTTATTACAACATAATGCATGTTGCATTAAGGGTACTTATACAACTAATAATAAATTAAATCTTAGCTGTGTATTCAAATTCTGCAACCATATTTTTAGATCAAAATCTCATGTATCATTTACTCCCAAAAATATCGAATACTTTTTAATTACTAAATGCATGGTGAATGAAAAGAGAAACCTTTGATTACGTAAAACTTTCTTCTAGTGACTGAAAATTAGCCGTTGATCCGTGAAATAGAATATAATGTGTTAACAGATACTCTGGTTTTTTAAACCTTATAATGTTTGTAATATTTTGATGTAACTACGAAACAGTTATATGTGACAGACTGAAATATAACAATAGGTACATTATGCATGCCAATATTTGTTAAAGAATAGCACACATTATTAAACATACTTAGTTGATACACATACTCGACTGATGGGAAGGTTTTATAATACTGTTTTGTCAAAAATCGAGTGATTCCAATTAGCGATTTTGTGCAATAAGCACCATATGAAAGAAACCCTAATTAAGTGCTGTCTGGTATGTTAGAAGATATAATTCTGTGATAGAAAACACTGTCTATAAACTATATTACTCAACTAATTCGTTTTTGAACTCTCAGATTCACTATTCATTAAATTGGTAACATGAATAGATATTTTTTGTCAGAAAGTGATAGAAATTTCGCAACTACACAGTTATAAGCAAAACAAGCCATAACACTTGTTTATAAATGTTCTGAACGAAATATCGGGTAAACGATAGTCAACTTCTTTCTTTCAAGTACATTTAATTTGATCAGTTACTCCTACAGAATTAAATGAAACACCCTATGGATCCATTTCTTTTAAATAAACCTTTCCAAAAATCTCAATTCATAGGGAAAAATTCTATATCAACACGTTTGAATTTATTGTGTATCATCTCTTAAAACACTGTATGTAATAAAAATGAAAATGGAAATTTCACATATGTTTTTATCTGATGCCCCTATGGTTTTTCTTTCAATACAAACACTTTAATGTTACAAAACCCACCAATAAATAATGCTGAAAACTTTAAAATTGAGACAGAATGAAGCTGGTATTCATTTTAGTTTAATTAAATAGAAAAGACTGAATGTTTAGTTCCATTCCAAAATGACTCAATTATTTGTTTAAGTTAGTGATTGTAACAGACTACTTGAGATAATAAGCAATTTAAGCCATTCATTTTCACTCTTCATATATATCCAAGTTAGGTCTTTTACATCTTACTTCAGGTATTCTGGAATCGTTCACTTCTTAAGATGCATTTCATTACGCGGGGAAATCAGCGGAAGTAGTTATTGAGTGATCGTTTCACCATACTCTGGGATACAACTGAAATCGAGCCTTTCCAGGAGTGAAACCTTGAACACTTATGTTCCGAGAGAAAGGGCGTTGCCATAGGGACACTTTGTTTAGATCCTATGGTTAACACTTTTAAGTTCCGTCCGTTCACGTTACAATACAATATTTACCCGATATCACTGATAATAACATCGTTATTATCTACGTGACTTAGCTCCACCAGTCTGTTCATAACAATAGCTATTGTTCACTACCCAACTCATTTAAATTTACCAGAACCAGTGAGTTTTTATGTTAATTCAACAACTATACTACTATTCATTTGATAAAACCATAAAAAAGGAATAATCTAGGAAAAAATAGCTCTATGTATTCCAATTTGTAATTGTTAAAAAAGAAGTATGTTTTAATTATTCCCATTAATAGATGTAATCATTTTCTTTATGTACTTAATATAGAATCCATCAGTGAAGTTGTAATAACGAAACAATACATCTAGTACTCAGTGACAACATCGAGATGACTTTGACAATTATTCAGTAAATAAGCTTGAAAAATGGACTACAATTATCAACAAAAGTCTCATCAAAACCTGTTTCTTTTGTTTTTCGTCATTTTGCAAAGTATATTTCAAACAATTTCAAGTTTGAATTCCAACGACCTATGCTTAAACAAAACATGCAGTGGTTGCATTGCTGGATCGCTATCTTGTCAAGAAGGTGGACTTACACATTTACCAGATCGTCTTAGTTCTGACATTCAGTCCATGATAATGATGGGTCATAAGTTTAATAATCCAACTCTAACCAGCGATAACTTTTCCATATATATTCAACAAAACGTTAAGCTACAACGTCTTACTCTGCGTAATTGTGGTATCCAGTCAATTCAGTCACGTACATTCCAATCATTGAGGGTTTGCAACAATTAGATTTATCTCAAAATCGAATCAAAACAATCTTAAAAGGTACTTTTGAAGGCTTGCACTTGGATTTTTTACGTCTAGATGAAAATTTTGGTTTAAGTATTGAAGACGGTGCTTTTCAAGATACTTCTATTGTGTCATTATCTATGAATCAATGTGGTCTTAAAATATTGAGTTACAATGTTCTTTTGCCATTGATAAATAGTAAACAACTCAAAAATTTACATTTATCTGGCAATCAGTTAATAACTCTAGAAAGTCGTCTAGAACCTATTTTCCTTCATTTGCAAAGTTTATCACTGGAACAAAATCCTTTTAATTGTGATTGCAAATTAAGTTGGCTTGTGTCTGTATTGAACAGACGACAAGTACAACGGCGTACACGAGGTTTGTCAATGTTTAATGGGGATATCGATGATGTTGAAACAAATTTGTTACATAAGTCAAATAGTTTAATGGAAATGAATCAACATAATACACCACTAGATGGTGATTTATTAAAACCATTATGTCATAATCCAAGACGACTAATCGGACGAAGTATTGAATCACTGACTGCATCAGATTTTTACTGTGGTACACCAAAACTTCAAGTTATTGAAGTTGACCTAGGTCAATTAACAACTTTTTATCAAAATCAAAATAACAACAAAAAGTTAACATCAGGAAAGTTCGAAAAAGAAAATGATAATTCTCTAATTATAACTGTCAGATGTCATGTTAAAGGTTCACCAGAACTTCAATTGGACTGGTATCGTCCAATTAATCATGATAACAATAGTAATCGTGACCAAATAACAAATACTCAGTCATACTCATTTACACGAACTCAACATCATCCAAATCAACAACAACTTATTCGTATTCCAAATTCAAAAATACTCAGGTCTGGTGGAATCGAATTAAAATTGAGTCGAAAAATAAACCTAAAAGATGATAATGCATTGAAGCAATCTGATAATCAGTCTACAATATCAGCAACTGAAAAATTGATTTGTTTTGCCACTGATTCTAATGGAAATACAAGTGCTGAAATAGTTTTCCATTGGCCAACTATTGAAAGTTTACGAATGATATCAGATAATTTTGATAATTTACAAACTAAAGTTCAAAATCATCCCAGATTATCTAGTGATATTAATGAGAATATTATATACACAGATAAAACAAGAATAACCAATGATCGTTCTACAGGTAACTATGAAATTACACCTGGTTGGTATACAGTTTTACAAGATGATCCAGAAAATATGTTGTTTCAGGTAACTAGTTATGTGTTTTTAAAAACTTTTAAATCAGTGATATGACACATTTTTAATCAATATGAAAATAGGTATCCTTCTTTGCAAGAAAACATGATAAGTGGTAAGAGTTGAGACAACGCTCTTCGGTTACATTCAGCACTTTTCAAACCAACCTGATTTTAGAGATTATTCTCAAGGCTAAAATTTACAGATCCTAACACTAATTAATTGCACATCCATTCGGTAAACATTTTTCTTAACGATGCTTATATACATACATATAAAAAATTATTAAACTCATTGATAATCCTTGCTTAAAGGAATAATAATGCAAAATACTATACACATATACCACTAGATGGCTCAATAGAATAATACATTTACATCATACATGTCTAATATTGAGTCAATATTTATTTATCAGTCAGAAAACCATGATAAACTTGGAAAGCCTCTTCCTGTTTTGTAACTCTTGAACAAGGAATACTGAAAAACATAAACTGGATTCCAATTTAATGGTATTTTGGTAGTAAAATGGTGTGCATCCTTTAACATGATTAGTACACTGCAGTTTTGTCATCTATACAGAAGTATTTATTACTCAAAAATGCTAATTAATCCCACTTACGTAAATCAACATTTTATTAACGGTTGTGATATCTCTATAGGCACGAAAATTCACTAGTTGACTGCTAAACTATAAGCATTGATTAATCTCATCAATAAATATCCTGTTTCATCATGGTGAGTTCATCTTAAGTGGCCCATTCTAATTCTATTTTCTCTTGCCACCATTTCATGCATCTAAGTATTTCCTGATATTCTTTCCTACTAACCCATTTATACCAAACTCTGGTTTATGATGTACCAGTACCATTTTTGCTAGATGGTCATCCAGATTTTCGAACTGAACCTTTATCACATTTCCAGTTTACAATAGTATTGTAAGTAGCTAATTTACAGAAAAACTGTTAAAGTTTTCTTTAAAAGTGCATTTCTTGTTTTACTCGTGAAAAGATGTATGTTTATAAGACTTATAGATTATTGATGCATTTTTAAAACTGTCCACTTATTATGTACTTGCTGTCATTTGTTCATTTGCGTTTCTATGGTTGGGTTTAAATCCCATCTCTGTCGCCAGTTTATGTCCTAACATCGAACAAAATCCAACAAGAACGAGAAAGTGATAATCTACACCTTACGGTTGGCCCAATATTAATTAGCAAAGAGGAAGAATACAAGACCAACAATGACCAATCCAGGATCGTTATTTTATTTCAAACATTCATTGATATACATACAAGACCATATCATATCACACCATAAAATAAAAGTAACAATTATATAGTATCAATCCAAAAGGTGGATTTGAGTAGAAGAAACTGTGAATAATAAAACTGTCGTCGGTTAAGAATAGTTAACCATACAGCAATAGTTAATGGGTTAATCGAAATCTTATGATAAGAAGAATAAATGTAATAATCTGGTTACTTATTAATTATACGATAAAACTATATATTTAATAATAATCCATAAATTAGTCCCGCAAGTTACCGTTGCTTTGGTCTTCGTTCGGATATAGTACTTACGGTAACTTCTTTCATACCTTCACAATTCTCTTTCTAAAGTAAAAAACAAACTAACCTCATAGAGCTATTTATTTTAGAATATAGGTACTTTAATGAAAATAATATCTTATTAGTATTAAGGAGATTGGTTAAATATTCATATATTTATAGATATAATAGGTGACTTCATAGTGCGAAATTATATTCGTCGATTAGAGTAAAAATTCTGCGCTTTAGATTTCAAATGATGCTTTGAATAATTCCGGTGATTATAGTGATTTTTACTAGACTAACCAACATACGTGGTAAAATTATCTCAGATCTATTTAAATAAATATAAAGGATTATAATTTAACCAGATGAATCATTTGTCTCAGTATATGGAGTTTGTTGCGCATGTTTGGTTTTCACAGTTTAATTCACCCACTGATCCTAGTCAAACAACTGTTGAAAACCAAGAAACATTGGACAACCCTTTCGACCCAATATATGACTATTCAATAATGTACGAACAAGACCTTAACCAAGATTGAACCCAATGTCTTCAGATCTCTCTGCAAGCATTTAACCATTAGACAACTAAACTGTCATTCAATAGGGTACTCATCTAACTTTAATCGATTTGTGATATTGTGCAACTATCTTTCGTTGAATAAAGTGGATAACCACCCCACATCTGGAATAGTTTAACTTCCCTATCCATGACATTTTGTTTGAATTCCTGGAATTGCCTGTCGAATTTTATCAGTAGTGAGTACATAATTCTTATTAGTATAAAGGTTTGTTGATATTCCATATTTTACTACTCAATAAGTTATAGGTTGCTTAGGTGGCATCATCATATTTACTGTTTATTCTGTTTGTTCAGCACAATCCGTTTCTTATTATCCTTTCAGTTTAATTAATCACGTCAATACGATATGCTAGTAAGATATATACTATTTTTCAACCTTAATATCAGTGAAAATCCTATTGTTTAATAGATATATTTAATTACTAACGCATTTGCCAATCGATTACGTTTGGTTATTTGTCAATAATTAAGTCCTTTTTTATACCAAACTAATAATTATAAGACAAATTTACTATCAGAATAATGGAAATTAATACAAATATGTTTATTGTAATTACAAATATTATGAGTTATGTGAATATAATTTTCATTTATTAAAATTTACCATTACAGAAACAATTCTCTGTACTTGAAATGATTGGTGCAGTTGTTGGAACATTTACTGTAACATTAGCACTTTTTATATTTGGATGTTGTTTGTTACGAATTCATAAACGTAGTCGGTATAAAGTTCGTTCAAAAATTTTATTACATCATACTACTTCAGAAAATTCTTATCGAAATTTTTCACCAGCATCAGAAAATTTAAAATCACCTCCACATTCATCTACTAGTAACCATTTATTGAGCAATCCATCCAATAATAATAACGATAGTGGTATTAATCCCAGTAGTAATAATAATGTGTCATATTCTCTCAATCCTGTACCAAATACACTAGTAAATTCCTATACAGCAAACAATTTTATTACTGGGAATGGAACACTTGTAAATGAATTTAATGGAATGAAACATTTACCATATATGACACCAACATATGAACCAATTAATAGTACCGGTGATTTTCAAACATCTACAGGATATTCAGATTCACAAACTTATGATTTACCACGAATTCTCCCAACACATTCACCACCAACTATTCCTTTACCACCATTACCAAATGGATTTATTAACAATGTCAGTAATGCTAACGTAATTACCCGGTTAAATGAAATGGAACGCAACAATACTACTACTATCAATACAGATAACAACAGCAATAATAATTGTAATAATAATCATTTACCACTTCTGATGACAACCTTACCCTACATAAAGACAGCACAGTCAATAAATAATGATATAAATCGATGTGTAGATACTTCAATACTATCCCCATTCCTTATGAATGATACACAAACTTTATCAGCAGCTATGTCAAATGCTACAGCTGCGGCAACATTAAATTTACACATGAAACACCAACAACAACAACATTTCAATTCAAATCATAATCGTAATTCAATTCCTCAGCATAATCAACATTTTACACAAAATAACGCTCATGATAATATTATAGTACAAAATCAACTAATCGATTTAATTACTCGTCAAAATCTTTTCAATCAACAACTACATGATATACAACATTAACTAATAAAGATTTGATATGTTAAACTTATAAACACTTAATTGTATATATATATATATATATATATATATATATATATATATATATATATATATATATATATATATATATATATATATATATATATATATATATATTAACAGGACAGCATACATATCTATTTATTTATTGCATATAATATTAGCAAAACTGATCAACAGATATGATTTCAGGTGTTCACAACTTTATAAATATACATTCATACTTGCCTCAAAAATAGTACTTGTATCAAACCAATTTAAACAATCTGTACTAGTTATCCTTTTCTTTTACTCAAGATTATTTCTGTTAATATTTACAACAACTATGATTAGAATCATTCACAGTACATGGATTTATATGGAACTTAATTCTTGTGCTTTTGAAAAAAATTGTTAATGTAGTATTTTCTCTATATAGCCTAGTGAAACGAAACGCATGTATCATATTAACTAGTTGAGGCCTAGTGAGACATATGAGATTGTTTGACCACACCCTATGTGAACTACAGTTATGACCAGATCATGTTTTCTTAATTGATGACAGAACGATATGAAAGATAAATAAGATTGTAAACAAAAACCCGAAACCATATGGCTTAATTTCATCAGTTATCTAGATCCGATTCGAAACAAACAACAAATTAAAATGTATAACTCTTTTATAATTGTGTGCTTATTCTAATGCCATGTTGGGAAATTAAAATCTAGATATATATTATGGTAAACAAACAGTTTGTTTTAATCCGCCAAATTTTCATAATTTCTGATTTGAAAAAGTTTATCAGGTTACACAACACTCTCATTCAGTTATTTTAACCAATTTTAATTATCATAACCCTATCAGTTTTCTTTGATTTTTAACTGATTTAATTGAAAGTTTGACTACACATCTCATTAGTCAAATATTGTAATATCAGCCTACTTACAAAGAAAAGTATGGTAATTAAGTTTGTATTGCATTTTCAATCTTTCAATCTTTTTTTGGATACAGTTTATTCTCAGACTAATTTGTAAATAGACGCAGACATTGGAAATTATTTAAAGTTCACTTATTTTTCCCTATATACCACCGTTTCACTTTGTTTTGCATCTCTATTCCCTTTTTGCCTTCTCAAACGGGATGATTGAATGTTATTTAATTACAAAAATATATTTGAAAATTATAAATATTATTTTTTTCTCCTTACTAACTTACAAGTTGGTAATTATCTTAAAATTTATTTTCACTTGAGAATGGATCAAAATAAATGTCATAGTATTGGTAATAAATAAAAATATTTATAAATACATACATATCTGATGAATTAAGCAGGAACAATTGTGTGAATATGATATGTGTTTGAATTTACCAGCTCTTATTGTCACTACCAAGGTCACCTTTCCTGCTTAATCTGAAGAATAAAGTACGTTACGATTGATTTCAAACACTCAATAGGTTACTGCCCCTCCTCTTATTCACTGTTTACGGACGCCAACTCGCAGGCTGAGGTTACATGATGGCTGTTTGGCTCATTACTAAGTACTCTTCACTGTCAGACCACCTCTCGATACAGCTTATACACGGATGGTTTAAACCGATTTGTGATTATGCGACACTATTAACCCAATAATAACACATGACCTAAGACAACTCAACAAACTAAGTAACAGTTAGGCAATAATTAAATAACAATTAATTAATCAAACGAATGACAAGTGAACATTTTCTTGTTGGTTAGTCAACAGACTTGGTTGAGCACAGACTATTGGTGACGCCACCCGGAGGAACACGATGACTCAAAACTACCGTTATTAATATATAAGGGATTATAACGTAGTGTATATACATGTTTGTGTGCAACAGATAATTGCCTCGTGGATCACTATAGTGCACGAAATCATTCTAAATCATGTTGTGCCTTATCATACTTAATACCCTTGCTAGGTTGGGAAGTTGTTTGACTCTCAGTCTTCTTGTTGATTTTCGTCTGAACACCTTGGTTAATAAAATTTTTCGACGTTTCTGATAAGTCATTCTTAATCTTCATGCTTATAGTTCTTACAATTCCATCCTTATTGGTGTTTGTACTACTCCAAATGATCAGCTACTTGTGAGCTATAAGTACAATCTCCACCCTGGAAGTTCTTCCTATGGCTTTCCCATTTGTCTTGAACCCGAAGAATGGTTATACACTAATTGGACCATCTCCTTCAAAACACACCCGTAAAACGTTTCGCTTATCTCCATATGTTGACGATGCAGTCAGGCTGAAAGTTACATCCAGGCGAACTTCCATCGCTTCTAAGTAAAAGTGATTTATTCGGTGTTATAAACTTCAAGTCTCTAGCATCGTTTATCATTCAAGACTCTTTAGGTTTGACTCAAGAACGTCTCTAACATTTCGTCTGTTGAACACTGTTTCTTAATTATGGCACTTAGTAATCACTTTCGTATTGCTATGAATCTTCCCCACAAACCACGATGACTAGGCTGAGGAGGAATAAGCCTCGATTCCATATCTCGACGTAGCAGGTCCTCACGTATTCCTTCCTCTGAGTCTTTTGATTTCTTAATCAGCTCCATCTGACTACCTACTGAATTTTTCGCTCTACCACCAAACATTATCTTGATGTTACCCCTTCGGTTTATGAAGTTAAAAAGTCCCAATACGAAGGAGTCAGTGGATATGGAGTGAAACAGATCAATATGTACAGTCATCGTCTTTAGACAAATAAACAAACATCCGTGTCGCTCACAAATGCCTCTCCCTCTTTTAACTACAAAAGGTCCAAACAAACTAACTCCGACTCACTCAAATGGATAACTGCCCATTTCCAATCTCCATACTGGGATGCGTGCCGTCATCTATTACTCTCTGTGGACGTTTCTTCTACATTCCGCACATTTGTTGATCACATTTGGTACTACTGACTTCCCCTTGAGAATCTAATGTCTAGTTCGAATTCTTGCTTGCACCTGAGTGGAGCCTAGTAATCCTTCAGTAGCTCAATGATAAACAATTATTAGAGGTGAAACTGAATGATAAGTAGGCATGGAAGCCAGGTGCCATAGTTCTGTGGACATGTCTCTGGAGTAATTACGCTATTCTAATCTGACCACTTCCCCAACGATTATTGGATTCAGTCGTTCGTTTAGTATTTTAAGGTCCGAATACCCTCTCACTGACTAGCCCTAATGAAGGGTCTTTCTGAATGTCAAGTTTGTTAATCTTTAATTATCCTACATCTATGCTTCCAAAGTTATTCGAAACATATATTATCTTCAGATATCTGATGAGTCGCATTAGCCGTCCAACGCCTCCCAGTAGCTCACACCAACCAACGTCGGTTGTAGTTCTATTCTGTTGACAACAAAAGAAGTATAATAGGTTGACTCATTTCACAGGTTATATATTACCGTCACAGTGTCCGTCCAAAAACTAGTCCTCACTATTGCGCATTCATATTCCACGGTCATTGTCACATACACCATAACCCCTAGAGCAGCTACACTCAACTCCAGATGAGATATTGTAGCAAACTTTAAAGGGGCTACTAGGGCCCTTGCTAGTTATAACCGCGCACCTGTTTGATTACTCCCAGGTAAATAAGAAAGATTAATTCTTATTTAGTATTCTAATGGGTGTATTCTGTTTACCCTAAGGTGTTTTTGTTTCATTTAACTCATTATTACATATAAATCGCTATCCTATAACTTGATGAGCCTCGGAGATATTACACCCACTTAGAACCTTAAATCTTTCATTCAACAATTTTGGAATGCACATCTCGGTCAGATCGGGCATTTTTGACAATACGGTGTCAGCTGGCAATGATACCTCTCCCAATCTGAAGTGTGACGTTACATAGGTTATGGGAACGCGAATCATCTTGTCTTGTACTAAAGAGTCTAAATTAAATGATACTCTTGCACACCACCACTCACTGAAGAGTTCATCACATTAACTGACAAGTCATTTTATTCACACTCAAGTCTCAACCAACGAGTTAACCCAGCATCGATTAATGATACATTAAACCCGTCATCCAATAGTGCATATACCTCCTCAAATAATAAGGGCTCATGAATCCTCACCAAAATGATAACAAAGTAGGTCTTCTCTGTACTGGGCGTCTCTAAGCATTGAACTGTAGTTTATTGGCCTCTTCACCCCGAGACCCCAACAACGGATAGATTTATTTCTCACGTACCATTTTCCCTTTATGTGTCCAACTTTTAAACACTTAGGAGATAGGTATTTTCTTCTCGCAGACTTTGGTGTTTGAATCAACTAATGATTCTTTTGTACTTGTTGAATGCCCGATTTCAAATTCTAGATACAATACATTCGTTGGTGCTTGTGTCGTACTTCTTGATTCAGTTGCATTATTTCGGGGATTCTTAGTTCATACTATAATTCAAATAATTTGAAACATACAGACCTCATTCTTCGTTGCACAGGTAATCTGCAAAGCTTGTCACAATCCCACACATAATGTTGTTCGATGCAGAATTTTCACTCGACTTTCTAATTCACTACGTCAATGGCTTCTGCAACCAATACTGGCTATTGATCAGTCAACTGATTTAGGCCTGATCTGTTATACAATATACTGGCAAATCTACTTAGGGACTGATTTATGTCACGATGAACTAATTCTAGGATGTCTCGGCTCTCTAAATTCCTCGTCCATAGCAGCACTGATCTGTACCCATTTTCTTTATAATAGGGTAGAGAGACGTTTGTTCAATGCCTTCAATACAGACATGGATTCCGTAGTGTCTGACTATAGTTCGACAGCAATTATTCGATAACGATAATCAAACAGTCGAACTGGAGTCAGGTTCGGGCCTCTAAAAATACATCCTGGCTATCCCCATGTATAATCCTTGACCTTTATCGCGTTGGTAAATAACGGAATTAAAGAAGTCAAATACAAAAATAGACTTTTGAATACGTATATTTCGTACAATCGCTGATCGGGAAGCAAAGCAAAACAAAATGACGCGCAATGCAGAAGGCGAGTGAGCCCACTCCATTCAATCAATCATTAGTCGACATTTATAGTCAGACTAAGATAGGAAATACACAAACTTACGTTTACATAAAAACAATCACGGTTGATAAATGAATAATTAACAGGGTCAAAATGTGACTCAAGTTGAATGAATCAATTGACCTGTCCGAAAGCTAAAATAAGCCGTGTGACCTTAACATAGTGACTGAAACTACATACATTTCGATATTTTCATTCGATAACTATGATCACACAATCAAATCGGAGTCACATGATGGGCCACAAAAACTCCAGTTCATGGCTCATATCCATAGATAGCAGAGTATTCCTATAGGCTAGCTAAATGCCCGATAATTCTGTCACTTCCTTAGGTTAGTCGTCAATTCACCCATAGTTGCTCTTAACAGCTTCAAAGCTGTACTTTCGACCACAAACGTTCCACCCAGTCTTCGCATCAATATCATCGCCTCATTATATGCTTCGGTGGCTGGTAAGAACTTGCAGCATTTCATTGCTCATGTGGTTACTTCATTGCACTGTCTCAATAAGCACATGAATAAAACTTCGTTTGATAGTCTGTTGTCTGCTAAGAGCACTTCAATCTTTATGGTAAACAGAGACTTAAATTAGCTGTCAACCGGACATTTTATGCAGCCCAACTTGTCATCATCGAAAAGACAAGGTCTATGTTTCACCAAAAGCCCAAACAGCATGAAAACGATTGTGTCACATCCCATTGTGTCTATAAATTTACATGTATGTGTGGAAACACGTACGTAGGGAGGGGCAACCGTGATTTGCAATTAAGGGTGGGTGAACATATACCAAAATGGTTGCAAAATCAGATGAATTCCAATGGTGAAACAAGATCACAGGATAGACAGACATCATCATCCATTGCGAAACATTTGATTGAGACGGGTCATAAGGTTGATATCAAATCAGCATTTGTTGTGTTGTACAAAAGCCTTCAAGGACGGATACCAAGGTTTATTGGAGCCTTGGCTATACGAAAATTGAAACCCCCTTTATGTGTTCAAAAACAATTTGTACTTACACTTAACCTACCTTGGTAGTACTGATTTACTATCCAGAGTGTGTACTTTAATATTTTTTCCTTTGTTATGACTTACCCTTAACCTGTCTAGTTGACCTTTTAATTTTTCATATATAAATGTTCTTAACAAGTATATGTGTGATAAGATTGTTCGAAATGTATTGCGCAAATATATCACATAATTCTGATAAACTACGTCTTCTCATTGCATTATCGAAACCTAGGTTAGTCTGCTGAATCACCACTAAAAGGCTTTTGAGCATGCTCAGGCAGTCTAAAATGCGATCTCTTCGAGTCACTCACAGAACCTAATCTAACATTTACGTCACTCTTACTATACAGTATCGATCAAAAATGAATTACTATCATTAACATTGCTATTCAAAGAGCCTTTGAACATAAGCTCAGGTTTCCCCTCATACTCAGACATTTCAGCGAAAACAAGCTGATGACAGTAATTAACCACTTGCTGGGAGATTCCTAAAATTAAAATTGAATCAAATCCAACGTTTAACTAACAGTAGATCACGTTACTACTCGTTACCAAGACCAAAATTCCTATAGAGCCGCGAACAATTATGGCCAGATAGGATTGAGAGGTCAACAAATGTTGACGTCCTTATGAAGAATGAAATACAATGTAACTAATTATCTACCACTACCAAACTAGAACTAGTGAACAAACAATGATACGGAAATTCGTCCACTCAACAACTACAACATCTTCACTCACTGGCACAACAATAGTGGCACGATGTCAATTACAACTGTCTAAACAACAATATTAAAATAAACTTTTTCATACTTTCGTTGAGTATTCTCACCGACTCTGGAGTTCGAATGAGAACTGTAAATCTCACATAACACAACAACGGACGATCACATCACAGTGATATTGATACCAAAAAACGAAATTTTGGCACAACCATAAAGGACAAAGGGTTCGAACCCTCATCGCCCTTGACAGTTGGATGTGCGCCAACTCAGTGAACCGCTTGTTTGATAAGTTTGGGCACAGAGTTACCCACTTTATACAATAAATATATGTGCCTAATACATCAGCCCGAGCAAAAATTTGTGGTGAACATATATGAAGAGGAATGTTGTAAAAGATCAATAACTGACCAGATAAAATTAATTCCAACATAGCCGGTGAAACTAACAAGAATATTGACAAAAATCGTATATGCGTAGGTCATGAATAACTATGATATGTTGACCCATTGCGGAAACATCTGGAACTCATTAGTCATATGCTGTTGGATTTTATCTGTGAAAATTAAATAAAATTCGCTTGTAGGTGTTAGTATAAGTCACGAAACCTCAGAGTAATAACTAGTTCATGCTTCTTTATCCGGCATCTATCTTCCATCACCTCTATGGAGCAGGATTTCAGTCCCCTATTAACAGAAAGCATGGGCACCAGAGATAATTACTGGATAAATCTAACCAAATCTTACTCTGTGTTGTTGAAGAAAGCTAGGTTCACTTGTCGTGTTCCATAAGAGGCTCTGCCCATCTGGTATTTCTTTTATGGACGTAGTTATTACTATCATCGATGGGCCCATTGTCTAGTCACATTAATTTTAGATGACAATGATGATATATATCTTTAGGCGAGTAATTATAACTGTGAGTATACATTTGCCTATTTATTTCGCATACTCATCTAAACAATGACTGCTTAAACTAATTACTTGCATGTTAGCTAGATAAATATGTATTCATATATATTTACCCTACACATTAGATTTATAATAACTCCATGAATTCCATCTCTTCGTGGTTTTTAAACTGTATTGTTTGAATCACCTGTTAAAAAGACAAATCATTCTGTTAGCTTCGTTCGTACCTTTGAACACCACATGTCTTTTTTATTCTTCTTGATAACTTTAAAATTCGAAATACACTTATTAAATCGTGAAAAATAGTTGAAAGGGAATGACTATAACGAAAGAATGAATTGGTCTTCGTTGAGTCCACTGAGTAAAACCAAGATCAGATAGTGTACTGTCAATAAATAGTAAAATCAGAAATCTCTGATAGTGATACTGTACCAATCAGAAATCGCCAAGGGACAAGTGCAGATGATTGGGCAAAGAATAGCTATTTTTGGAAAGGAAGGACCAACCACTGACAGTTCTGATTTTCTAAGTTAAAGACACTCATATTTACATGAACAAATGTATATACATGTGAAACAGTTTAGCCCAAAGAGACTAAAAAACATCACGTTTTTTCTAGGATAGCGGGATTTATTTATAGAAAGACAGTATAAGTATCAGCTTGTGGACACCACAGGTTACAACAAAAAACTTGTTTTGCTTAAAAGTTTCTCATAATTAGCATTATTAATTGTATTTATTCGTCAGAAAATTTCCAGTTCTATTAAACACTTGCTTTTGCAGCCTCGAATGGACCGGATCATGAAGACAGAAAATAATGAGGATTCATTTGAATAAGCGATATTTGAATAATAAGTAATGCGCGCAATTGTTTAGAAAGCATATATTCTTTTATAAAACACCACAATGATTAGGACGATTATCATCTAACAGTTATGTGAGTTAAATATGATACCACTTTTGTCGCACCAGATATTTTGATACCAAACAAACACGAGGTTGTGCACCGTTCGCATAACTGGGATCCAGTGAACTGTAACTTATCTGGGATCATCACCTAGAAATAATATAGCCGCCGGGTTTGTTTGTTTGGGTAGCTTGAATGAGAAACCTTCTCAGCCTATGTAAGTTGTTTTCTTTCTAACATGCATCGACCTTCAAGGAATGTTACATATTGAATGCTAGAGACATGATGTTTCTCAGTAGAAAAAACTTTCGTGGAATTAACAAACAGGGTGTTTATCTAATTTTTTTAATGGAATTTTCACATAGTTTCTGACTGGGTATTTTTTGTAACCCCTGGCGTATTCTATCTATAGTCAAACTACCTGAATGGTTGTGATACGTTTGTGGTGGTAAATAAATCCGCAAACTCAATAGCTCTGTAAGTCTTCGACATATGATGTTGACCACATTAGTTTTACTGAAATCACCTGACTGAAGGCGCTCGGTAACGCATCTGCACTAGATCACGAGTGGGTATGCCCAGTTACACATCTCCTACAACCGCTAGCCAGTTTAGACTAATCACTTCCCAATATATCGATAGCCTATCAAATATATCTTCGATAGGTTTCTCTGAGGATGAAAGCCCTAGTCAGTGAAATATCTAAGTGGGAAACTACCTCTTTCACTGACAGATTTAGACACTTTATGGCGAGAAAAGTTTCTAATAAAGATAATACTATAATTGTTTGCAGACCTGATGTGTAAGATCTATTTTGAAGGTTTTGTGTGAAAATCCCTCCATGTATACACTTGTAATTTATTCCTATGGATTCCCTCAGTTGTGTATTTTCTTACTCTTTTTTATGCCACTTGAGTTGGTAATATTCGCATTTTATTGTAGTTTTTATTTTTCCTACGTCTTCACTGAATTTTTATGTTTCTTCTTGAACTGCATTCATGTTGTTTTAGTTGATACTTAGTCTTGGTGGCAGCCATATTGATTTGTCTCTCCTTTGTATTGACTGGAATTGTGAATTGAAACACTCTTTCAGAGTTGGAAGCACTCTGTGTTATAAAGTAACTAAATATTATCTTTCAAACGAATCTGCACGTGACCTATCCAGACAGGATAGAATAACATCTTTTTGTTGCGCTTGGTAGTTTTCTTACATCCTTTATCCACTTGTTTATTTATTGTAATTTAGATTTGATTACTGATTGAAAAATTATTGGTTGAATATCTGGGTGGTAATACTTGTTTAGGTAATAATAAACATTCGTATTTATAATGAAATCTACAACCGTCATTTACCCAATCGCCTTGTTTTAGTTTCAACTGGACAAACCTAGACAGTTATTCTTCAGTCCAAACCCCAGTTTCGTTTCTACACTGATGTACGAGTTGATTTATTCTACTTCCCCGGATATGTACCTTCATCAACGGCCAAAACCTAAGAGATTCAGATTATGACAATCCACAGTATAAGACATAAACAGGTTGGAGTAGGTTGTCAAATGACGTAAGACCTCGACTCAATCGCACGTTGACCTCACATGTTTAATACATACATAATAAGTCTACACAACTTTATGCTCACCTTAAAATGCACCATCTGATAGCATGTAATGGTCAAGTACGTTACTTAAATCTTATTGTTTAACCCGTACTCAGTTGTGGGATTAATTCGAATGATCTATATGTGAATCATAATGATAGATTCTTATTTAATTACCTACCTGCCTGTCCGTTAATCATAATCTAATACTATACCAATCCGTAGATATTTGAAATATGTAGACTAACTGACACTTTGGAGAGTTTGTACTAATTTTACTATAGTTTAGATTAAATTATTCTAATACAAACCTTGATTTTTTACTACAATACAGCTGCTAGATGTTATTATGCCAGGATTAATTCTGTTTAGGTAAAATTATTGTTAATCCAATTGTCAGTCTCAAATACTAAAATGATTACTCCGGGTATTGTTCCAGCACTACCATTATTCCAGTCCAGTTGCTCGCATCCAGTCATAGTTTACTTTGGTGATTTATTACTAGTGTCCATGACAGTCGATTCAACCACTTAAATATGCACTGCAAAACAAACAGTTCAAGCAAACGAACAGAGCATGTTCTTCATCAGTAAAATATGTTAAGCACCATTTCCTACAGAGTATATCCGCATATCTATATAACATGTCTCTTATTATTCTCGTGTTTGGAACTGAGACTTACGGTGATGCTGAAAGTTAGAATGTAGCAGGAAACAGTCCTGCAAAGCAAATTTTATTAAAAGCGTTCAACAATGCTGGTTTTAACAAACGCTAATGGTCAGAGCAGCTAGGTCAAAAACTATCACAATTATCACACGGCGACACTATATGAACAACTTGTACTATCTGAATAGCCAGGCTAGAAATCTTACGTTTCCACACTGCATCATGTCTTTCCTACTAGTCATTAACAACATCACTCAGATTCCTCCCAGGGCCACCGTCGGCCTTGCTTACTTACGCCTGTTACTCCTCGTGAAAGAGCATAGGCCATACACCAGCATTCCCCATCCAACCCCGTCTTGGACAATAAGTTCCAACTCTTTCCAGTTCTTATTCATCCTTTTCATATCTGATTCTATTTTTTGGCTTAATCTGTTATTTGGCCTCCCACTTTTCCCCTCCTCTTCAGGATTCCGAATTAGGGCTTGTCTCGATGCAGTTTGATGATTTGCGTAATGTATGTCTTATCCATTTCCATCGTCTTTTCCTAATTTCCTCTTCAGCTGGAAGCTGGTTTGTTCTCTCCCAGAGAAGGCTATTGCTGATGGTATCCGGCCAATGAATGTTGAGTATCTTGCGTAGACAGCTATTTATAAAAACTTGCACCTTCTTGATGATGGTTGTTGTAGTTCTTCAAGTTTCAGCTCCATACAGTAGAACTGCCTTGACATTCGTATTGAAGATTCTCACTTTGATATTGGTTGAAAGTTGTTTTGAGTTCCATATGTTCTTCAACTGAAGGAATGCGGCCCTTGCTTTGCAAATCCTCGCCTTTACGTCTGCATCTGATCCTCCTTGTTCATCGATTATGCTTCCCAGGTATGTGGAGGATTCTACATCTTCCAGAATTTCGCCATCAAGAGTGACTGGATTGCTGTTCTCCGCTTTGAATTTGAGGACTTTGGTTTTCCCCTTGTATATGTTGAGGCCTACTGATGCAGAGACTGCTGCTACACTGGCTGTCTTTGTCTGCATCTGTTCGTGTGTACGCGATAGGAGGGCTAGGTCATCTGCGAAGTCCAAATCGTCTAATTGATTTTGAGCTGTCCATTGTATGCTGTGTTTTCCCTCAGATGTCGAGGTCTTCATAATCCAGTCGACCAACAGAAGAAAGAGGAAGGGAGAGAGTAAACAGCCTTGTCTGACTCCGGTCCTTACTTGCAATGCAGCTGTCCTCCATGCACGACCTTGCACTGTAGTCCGTCGTATGAGTTCCGGATAATGTTGACAATCTTCTCAGGAACTCCGTATTGTCGAAGAAGTTTCCATAACGTCCTCCTATCTACACTGTCGAATGCCTTTTCATAATCAATGAAGTTGATGTGCAGTGACGAGTTCCACTCAATTGATTGTTCGACGATGATCCGTAGTGTCGCAATTTGGTCTGTGCACGACCGATCCTTACGGAATCCAGCTTGTTGATCTCGAAGTTGGGCGTCTACTGCATCCTTCATCCGGTTCAGCAACACTCTGTTAAAGACTTTCCTTGGTATTGACAGTAGTGTGATGCCTCTGTAGTTTTCACATTTGCTCAGATCTCCTTTCTTTGGAATCTTGATGAGGTGTCCTTCCTTCCAGTCCATCGGCACTTGTTCCTCCTCCCAAATCTTTTTGAATAGAAGGTGAAGCATGTTTGTAGTTACTTCGATGTCTGACTTCAGTGCTTCAGCTGGTATATTGTCGGGTCCTGCTGCTTTCTCGCTCTTGATTTGTCTGATGGCCATTCTGATTTCTTCCGTCGTTGGTGAATTGACATCTATAGGAAGATTTGTGTGCACTGCTTCGATGTACGGTGGATTCATTGGAGCCGGCCCATTCAGGAGTTCCTCGAAGTACTCTACCCATCTGTTCCTCTGATGTTGAATTTCAGTGATTTGCATGCCTTCTTTGTCCTTGACCGGTCTCTCTGGTTTACTGTATTTCCCTGCTAGTTTCTTCGTTGTATCGTAAAGCTGTTTCATATTTCCTTCCCTTGCAGCTTTTTCTGCCGTCGTTGCTAGGTCTTCCACGTATTTCTGCTTGTCGGCTCTAATGCTCCTCTTCACTTGCTTGTGTGCTTCTATATATTCAGCTTGTGCTTGGACTTTCTCTGTTCGTGTTCGGCTGTTGTTAATTGCTGTCTTCTTGTTCTTCCTTTCTTTGATCTTGTCCAGTGTTTCTATAGAGATCCATTCCTTATGATGGTGCTTCTTTAGACCCAGAACCTCTTGACACGTTGAAGTTAATGCTTCTTTGATGCCTTTCCAGTTGTCCTCCATAGTAGTTTCTTCTTCCTTCAGTAGATCTTGAAAGGCTTGGAACCTGTTGTTGAGAGCTATCTTGAATTCATTGAGTTTGTCAGTATCTCGAAGGAAGGCTGTATTGAACCTTTGTAATGCTGTTTGTCCAGTTCTTTAGCTTCAGTTTTAAATTGGCTACAACTAGGTGGTGATCTGAAGCTATGTCAGCTCCTCTCCTGGTTCTCACATCTTCCATTGTCCTTCGGAATTTTTTATTGATGCAAATATGATCTATCTGGTTCTCTGTAGTGTGGTCCGGTGAGATCCATGTAGCTTTGTGTATACGTTTGTGTGGAAATATTGTGCTGCCTATGACCAATTGGTTGAATGCACACAGATTTGCAAATCTTTCTCAATTTTCGTTTCTCTCTCCCAGTCCATGTCGTCCCATGATATCTTCATATCCGGTGTTGTCTATTCCGACTTGGGCATTTAGATCTCCCATCAGAATGGTGAGGTCCTTTCTTGGCACTTCTCTATGATTGACTGCAGCCGCTCGTAGAATTGATCTTTGATATCGTCGTTGCTATCATTGGTGGGTGCATAACATTGGATAATATTCATTTTGATCCCCTCCTTCTTTGTTTTGAATGATGCTTTGATGATTCTGGATCCGTGAGATTCACATCTTACAAGTACATTTCGTGCTACTTTGGAAAGCATTAGAGCAACTCCCTGAGTGTGTGGAGTGTTTCCCTCTTCGTGACCGGAGTATATCAGCATCTCTTCAGTATCTAGCCTTTGTTGTCCAGCTTGGGTCCCATGGGTTTTGCTGATTCCCAGTACTGCCAAGTTGTATCTCCTAATTTTCGTTGCTATTTGACTGATCTTCCCAGTCTCCTGCATTGTCCAGACGTTCCATGTACCCATAAAAGTTGTTGCTCTGGTTGTTGGAAGGAGCATCGGCTTCATGGCTTCCGAAGGAGCTCGACTTTCACCATGAGGCGCCATAGTTCTTCCAAATGATGACCTTCTAAATCTCAGGGCAGAGTTAAAGTGGTTTGAACTCTTTTTTCTGGTTAGCGTTTTTTTTAAAAAGTTGATTTTCTACGGGATGGGGTTGTCAACTCCATGCCCAACCCTCCTGCTTTACCCGTGCCTGGGACTGGCCGTAACTCTGGAAAAGCTACAGGCAGAGTTACCGTCGGTCTTAGGCCCGAGTAAATGAGGAGGGTTGTGTAGAGGGTTATCAAGCTCGTCCTGTAAAAAGTAACACTTCTAACATTTTTCCGTTGAGGGTAGTTATGATAAATCAAGTTGAAGACCAAGATTCCTTGGAGTTCACCAAATACATACCCCATTTGTCGGTAAGAATAACAACTTATATATGTACACAAAATTTCCAAGTAGTGTAGAAGAAGGGAAAGACCATACAGACAGCTACGGGAACGAAAAAATACCTCTATTTCTCTTTTTAGAATAAGTGAAACCCATTGTATACAAGCTGTACAGAAAGGACAGGTTTTGAAAGTGGTGGAACTGTATTACGATTGTGAAGAAGTAAATGTCCTACACATATGGAGCCAGTGATGGTCTTGAAAAAAGCGTGAAGTTTTTGAAGGTGAAAAACCCGTGAATAATTGATCATCAAATCACTCCTCAGAACCAAGACAAAAGCAAATTACAGTCGATGTCAATTTGGGGCGGAACATTTTGTTTGGTTTGGGCTTTTATGATTGAGGATGAGGCAATTAATCGGCGATACTGAGGTTGTTCTCCTACGTTTGCTACTCAGACTCATGTTTCCAATTTTATGTTGAACTCGCTATTCGACTAAGTTAACCTGTGACATGCTAACCCAGACTTTTGAAACATACAATAAATTATATACTCACTAGCGTTTCTTAACACTTTACTTATTTTTGGTGCACTTCCTATCCAAATAAATAGCCTTCATCATTCTAACTATGACTTCCCTTCCATCATTCGAACCCATTCCACTTCATTACATATCACAACTAATTGTTCTTTGTCACTCTATCTCTTTATATGAAGGCCCTAACTGCATTATATTCTAGCAACAGCGGGTAGCATAAGTTTTGTCTCGTAGCTAATGAAACCTCAGTCTGTCACACTACAAACCCTTAAGCATTGCTTGGGGTTTACATCAGTGCACAGCTATGGAGCTTCTCCCTCCTGAAAAAGGCTTATTGTCAATGTCACGGCTCACGACAAGCGCTCCTTAAATGTGCATTGTAACAACTACAGTTTTAAAAGTATTGTAGAAATACTTAGCACACCCAGAATTCTAACACAGTGCGACAGATTTTGGACCTGGTGTACAACGTGGACACGATGCTATTTTCGAAAAGGATTGTAAAAATTGCAATCATAGTGCAATACTAAAACTTAAACCCAGTCATTAGATCTCTGGGACATTTGCACGAATGTAGTGTCTTTTATTTTTGTTGATTCCATTTATTTTAGCAACCCTACTCGAGAAACGTACTATGTGCAAGCAAACATTGTAAATTACAGATCATGCATGTAAACATATCATTGTATATATGGCCGACGCGACCTTCGTACCAATGAAGGACGAGGAGATCACGGAGGCCACTTTTCCTCGAGCAGTACTAAGGAAAGCAACTGACCATTCTGATGCTGAAATGGAAAATATCTCGTACATAGACAACATGGGACCACATGGATTAGGGGAAAGAAACAAAAATGATGTGAAGCTGGCAAATTTACATTCCTTCAGAAATATAGCTATAGGTGACATCATCCCCTCTTTCAAAAATCATAAAACTTTACGTGTTTCACCAGGCTACATCGGGATGAAACAGATCAGTCACATCTGTGTCAATAAACAACTTTAGGAGATTCGTGGAGGGAAAGGAGCAAATAAAGAAACTAGTAAAGTTTCTGACTACTAAGTGATGGAAGAAAAGCTGAAGCCATGAAAGTATTGGGAAACTGAACAAGTGGCACTACAAAGGTTTTATACAACTTTCGTTTGTGATGCTAACAAACATATAGAATTCAAAACAGCTCTCTGCAATCATCTCTAAGCTTTACATGACGCACTAGAAGAAATGGGTCAGCATAACAGGGGGTGCCGTTCCATGAGAGGTATCAGCATAAATAGTGGTTCTCTATTGTTGCTCATGGTAAAATTTTAAAAACGAGGACATTTAAATTCCCAGATCAAATATACAGAAGCGAAAAAAACAGGTTCAAGAAAGGGAATATATATAAGGCCGGGCAGCTGCATCGGAAAATGCGAGAAATAAACAATAGAGAAATGTCATATAACCAAGAAGCTAGGAGGGAAAGGTAGCAAGCGAGAGTGATAAGACGAAAACAGCGAAATGTGGTTAATTACAGATGTTTAAATAAGGTGGAAGATCTGTGCACTCTGAAGGGCTATTACTTCTACAAGTGTCACTGAACACAGCATTGAATGTGCACACAAACTCCTTAAAAAGAATACATATAATATACAGTGGAAGAAAGTGGCAAGACCATCGGATAAATCAGGATTGTCAATGTAAAAAGACCAGACAACAAGTCAAATGAGGCACTGAAGTTGAATACCAATGTACCTGTTAAAACGTATGGAGTTATTTTCCGACTGCCTCGTCAAAATAGGGGAAGTGCAGATCTAAGTAGGTGTGAGAACTACAGAGTCATTACACTGTTCTATGTACTAGCCAATTTTTCCCAACAATGTCATTCAACCAAATGACAGATTTAGTGTACGCCAATACTCGCAATCGACAACGAGGTTTTCGTAAGGACAGATCACATACCAACAAAATATTGGCACTGTAGTGGATTTCTGGCAATCTGTCGAACGCAGCTCATCACTAAACAACAGCTTTCTTGATTATATGAAGGCATTCAACCGTATGTATGGAAGGATCCTGTGGAATGTTCTTGAAACTACGAAGTAGCTTATAAGACCATCATCGTAAAGAAGTACCACACGGGACTGAGCTGAGAGAACCTACTGTGCATATCAGTGCTTACACGCAAGGCTACCTACTCTTACCTTTCCTGTTTCTTCTGGTAGTTGAATGTGCTAGGTGGACATTCATATATCAGGAAGAGCGCTGAATATAGAGTAAACCTGAGACCCACCTGGACGATTTCCGCCACAGATTATCAAGTCCATCTATCTCAAACATAATAGGATATGCAGAACAGGACGGTTAGTGTGGCAGCAATTTCTGCGTAAACAGACATTAACGCTTTAAAGGGACAAACAAAATCCTAAAGTACATCACGGCAACAGGCATCAAAATTTCACACAGTGGATCGTTTAAACAACTTGTCGGAACCGTTAGTAACAGTGACGTTCTGAAGTTATTGCTAAGTTATGGAATAACAAACGAAGTAAGACATTCCATTTAGAACTAAGAACTGTCACTTCAGAACGTAGTTACAATTCTCAATGCAAACATAGGAACAGCTCACTTGCGCGGAACGGAAATCTACAGTAGTATCAAAATCATCACCAACAGGTACAAGTTGTCTGAGCAGACTATCCGAGATCCGTTGGCTCGAGACAATCAACAAAAACCTGGCGTAACGAATAACAAACCAACTCCGAGTTGGGGAGGAATTCCGAAAACGACGTTGGAGGTGGACAGAATACAATTTGTGAAAATCAGGAAATTACGTCACAGAGAAAGTCGACAACTCGAAGTTCTCAAGGTAATGGGAAAAGTGGTAAACTAAGAAAAACACGCCATTGCCAGATGGAGGCATACATCAAAACTAGGCGACAACTGAAGAGAAGATCCAAAAACAGAATTGTTTGAAGATTTCTGGTCTGTGGAGGCGGAATAAGCTTAGCTAAGTGCATAACTAGCCTCCATTTTCGTCCTACTTATCTGTCTCTGGATTATTTTGTTTAGTAGCCTTTGGTTACCGATGTAGTTTGATTCTGTCGAATACAGGGTATTTCCGAACACACCACCCAATTGTGCATTTTTTCTCCAAAGTGCTTTGAAAATTTTCTGCAAGTAGAGAGATTTTCAAGTGGAGTTTTGCAATGATCTGATTACAGCTGATCCAAGTTACAAAATAGTTATTTACAATTATTTGTGTCAGAACCTTCAATATTCTTGTATTCGTCTTTTACTTTCTTCGCCCAGAAAATTTGCTCTTGCGTTTGATCGTTTTCGTCTAGGGCCAACCACTTTTTACAAAAATAATTTGGCTCCCAGTTATGGCGACCTAAGTATTAATAGGGCATTTATGTGAAGTGATCGAAGATCCACGTCCTCGTTTGGAAGTGTTTGTTGACCTTTTGTGAGACCTTTTCAGACCAAGGTTGTTAGGTAGAAGGTCATTCGAAAACAGACTGCTTATTTCATTTACATCCGGCTTATTAAACTTTTACATTTAATAAATCGACGCGGTTAATCATATGGCGCTCTCGCCAAGTGTCAAGGATGTTGTGAATTATCGTAGCTTTCTCGGATTATTCTTATGACATGTACTAGTGATCCTGTGATATTTGTCATAAAACAAGATATTTTGTTCACTTGTTATTAGAACACTCTCTATTCCTGTTATCGTTCCACATAAAACAGTTCTTGGTATCATTGTAAGTTCCCAGTCGATATGTATTATGCCGAGAAAATAAACCATCCAGTTTATTTCACAAATAAATCGCAAACCTGCTTTAATTTTTCCATTATTTTATCCTCCCTTTTTTGATTACTTATCTGTGTTTTCCTTTGTCTTGTAAAGCGTAAATGCCGTTAGTAATAGGTTACTTGTTGTAGGCTCATGTATTATGGTGTTACCGAGCTTTTTCATATCACAATTCAGCCATTTTTGTTTGCTATTAAATTGCGTACATCAGTGGTAGGCTGTAGAGATTCTAGCAACCTTACTGACAATGTCGACATTGTCAAACTTATTACACTCCTTATCACGATGTCATAAATCAATAGCACCTACGGATATACAACTGAATAGCAGTAAATCGCCCTACTGAGATATTATGGCTAAGCTCTGACTAAAGGTGACGTTCATAAGTTAATTATAGACTAAATAACCGTCGTTGCGGTTAAATACCCACTTGTTGTTCTCGATATTACCCACATCGTGTTGACGGTGGTTACGTCGGATTTCTTAAGATGACGTTGACAAAATACCGAAAGCTATTAGACTCTACTTCAAAGAGGCTATATTTTAGAAAACATGAACGAAAAAGTGCCATTCTATACAACTTTTCCCATTTATAAATTTAATTAAGGCGACATCAATTGTATCATTTCGTTGAAATCACGAGGTGATGTAGGTTAAACCACCATTGCAAGCCTTAAAGCACTGGATGTCCGTTTTCCTCTCTCACGGGACTCTTTGACAGTGGTCACCGACGATCTTGCACATGGCAATCGAACCCAGGACCTCCAGTCTCTCACAAACGCTTAACCTCTAAACCACTGAGTCGGCATCTAATGGTGTTAAGGTGTAACTTCAGTCAATCCACGATATTGCGTGACCGTATTGCATTGTCTTCGGTACGTATCCATCTCATATCCGACGTGGATTACCTCCACCAGTAACGGCTTTTCACTAGAACTCCGTAAATTCCTTCTCGAAGCTGGTCTCTAGTGAACATGTGGTAATTGTCAGTGAGTTGATGAGATTGTTTAAATCGCGAACCAATCTAAATTGGACCATCACTGAAAGCCTGTAACCACTGAACAGTCGTCTCGTAATGGTGTGGGACTCAACAGTGCGCATCCACAAGCACCATGTTAGTACGAAATGGCAGTCTAATTCTTCCAGACTGTCAATGGTGGTTTGACTTAGATCGGTTTATGATTTCAATGACAATAAAGCAATTTAGATTGATGATACACTCTAATTTAGAGTAGACTTTTATTTTTTCGATTATCTTTCTAATTAATCTCTGTGGACTTCTAAATTAGCTACGTTTAATTATTCACAGTTGTGGAAACCATTATTTGTGTGTAGTTTTACCTTGACAATCACAACATCTGTTCTCTGACTTTTCTGGCTTTACTCAAGTGTGTACAGTAGCAATTCTTGATATAATGCGACGGCTTTCTACTCTGAAGAATCAAAACTTCAAAATCAAGTGACTCGTAAACAATAGAAAGCAAAGACGCAAGTTTCACCAATAGTTATTATTTGGCTACCTCAGTACTACATATAAGTGTGTAGTAGTATACTACCTCTACAACTGAGTTAATTTTGTAATTCTTCATTATAAGCAGTTGTGGTATAAACATTCCCAGATAACAATAACTCTACGTTTATGACATAATATATGTCAGGTTTATCATCCATAGCTATAGTTTGTCATGCATATGACTCCGTATTCAATAATTTCTTGGAGCTGCGTAACTATATACAGTTGTGTTATTTCACTCACCACTTGGATTTTATTATGACTGCGTAGTCACCATCCTTTCAAAGTATGCATCTGTTTCTATGGCTCCAGAATACTTCAATATTGTTATTTCAGTGCAGTCGAGTAACGGATACCACAAGTCACGGGCAAGACGGAAAGAGGATTAATGTTGTTGTTATTTTTAAAGATAACAATTAGTGGAATAGATACATTTATTATTAATTATATGTTAACTTCAGGCTCAAATGAATGTATTGAGACCGTACAACGTGCTATTACTGAACTTATAAGTACAAAGCCTAAAAGGTATGAGTCAATGCATGTATTTCTTTTTCTGGTTTGATGTTTGTCCAAAGCATTATTCTGTACCGTTTTATTTCACAATTCCTTTTATTATAGAATACTCTTATTTGTATAGGACAGTTTCAAGCAGTTCCTCTCTATGTAAATGAACTTTGTTTGCCGGAATCAAAGCTTATTGGTAATGATAGTGAGGATTTAGCAGCTTCATCTCACGTAAGTTAAGCTTCTTCCTATACTTATTTCCTAAGCGTTATCGTTATATTTTAATTGGGATACTTAGGGCCTAAAATTCCTTAAATTTATTTAGTTTTCACTATTATTAAAGTATATGGAGTAAATTCTTATTCCCCGTTTGAAATAATAACCTCTGTATGCATCACTTTCAACCCATCTTACTTATTCCATTAACTTCCGACATTATTTTCGAAAAGTATTTTACCAAAAAAATGAAGTAAGAGTGTATAAACTGACATTACTGCTTAAAAGTGATTACATTTTCACACAATGATGTGGGAATTCATTGGTGGATATCAGGTTAAGTACGGTTGAATCTCAATGAATTTTTATTAAGCCTCAGCACCTAAGATTTCATTTTGTTAGATATGTAATTCATAATATTATCGAGTTTTTTTTTACTAGATCTTCATATGCCATCTCTCATACGTGTATAAGTTCTGTGTTCACCTTGTGCTGTGTGACAATTTGGACCCATGCATATATGTGCCTGGTCCTACGTTGTAGCTGACTGACTCTCATACACTTGCTTATGTCAATGATCAGTATGCTGTGAAACAGAATCAAGGAACAGATCACAGGTGTCATTTTTTATAATCAATACCATTTTTGAATAGTTAATTACTTTTTCGTTACCGATGCAACCAATTCTTTTCCTAATTTTTACTGTATTAAAATGATGCACAACTGGTGGTTCTGTTTGTTCTATTCGATTCAGAAAGTAAAGCACCAGACAAGATGGCGAAGAATGTAATTGTGCTGCTTATATTGCTTTAAGTTATTTAGTTTCATCCACATTTTTAAAATACCAGAATACTATATTTAGTGTGGAATGCTGATATGTAACGACAGTGAAACAGATATTAACACCGAAAGTTTCGCTTCTTAAAGTTTTTATGTTATTAATAAAACAAACAAAATAAGCAGAATCTACAGGTTATGAAGTGCCATAATACCTACCACCCGAATCAGAGAATTATGATGTACCAACGGATGCCAGTTCAAATCACCTCTCAGTTCCTACAGGTTCATAAAATTAATGTGTTAGATAAATATATCAAACATGGTCACTTTATCAGCCTAATGATAATAGTTCATCTAACTGGAGACTTGTTTAATTTAAAGTATTTTTCAGCATACTTCATTTTGCACAACTTGGCAATTCCATTAGATCTCACAAAATGAATATGCCACACTCGTGATCTAATATGATTGTGGAACTTTGTTTTATGTTATTTTTCAAGGTTCCCAAACTACTGAACAATGAGTATCTCTCATTCGTCATCACCCAATTTTGGGGAAAAGCCTCACTTCAAAATTACCGGTCGACAGCAATCAGCACCTGGTGTGGAATACCTACAGGGAAATAATAATTGTTTTGAAGAGGAAGAAGAATGGCAGTCGGTAAGGGTGTTCAGTAATCTTCTTTCCAGTGTTTTTTTCTTACCTCATCCTTTGCGTAATATGAAATTTTCGTCCTAAAATATTTAAAAATAGTAAGTGAGGACAATTGATTTAGAAAGTTAAGGTTGTCTGCAGAAGGAAATACAGCCAAATACTTTCACTTGTTGACATTTCTTCAAAATCGACTTATACACCAAGATACTTGACGTTCACTTTAAGTTCATGGTTCATTTCCAGCATCCTTAGTCTCAACAAGATTATTTTAAGTTGTAACTATATAATAACTTAGATCGTATAGCCTCATGTATACGACATAGATTTAGAATATCGTGTATATCTTTTCTCTATTTTTTTCTCAATTCGTCATCAAAGTATGGGGTCTGGTTTCCCGTATGTCATTCAACATCCAGATACTCCAGCTTTAATCTTTCCCAGATATTTACATGACGACTGATGTATTCCTTTTCACAGTCATACTTTTTGTATTTTGAAACACTGTTCTGTGACATATGTCGGACATTTCACCATTGATAACTAGTCGATATCACATATATACTTCGATATTTTTTCCTAATCACTTAGTTTCATTTAAGGTGAATCATATTTTGTAGCTGAACAAGGTTGAGATATTTTTTTTCTCATGGTCGACCCCATCATTTTGTTATCAAAGCCAGTTAACTAAAGTTATTTTTCAGCTCCTTATTATCCTAAGTGAATATGATCGTCAGTTTTCATCTAGTCGCCATTATACTGTTAAATTGATACTTGGTTTGATAATGAGCATACGCTCGGTCACGGTCAGTTAACTAAGTATACATTAGTGATGTAATTCAGCAATCAAGTGGAAATTCATGGAACATTCACTTATCAAAATATGTAACAGGGTTTGACAGTCTCTTATAAAATGGTAACCTAAACCTAAAATAACGATGGGCCAAGTAACTGTATTCATCAGGTAGCTCAACAGTAATTACGTAAATTGATTTCTTAAGAGAAACGCTGCTGCTAAACAACTTTTTAACTGCTGTTTGAAAACAGAATACTAACAGTAAACATTTTGCTCTTATCATCATTAACCATTAGTTGCGTTATGCATGGTAGATATTTTTGTCTTTGAAAAGTATCTCTTATCATTCGGATATCTATTTAACTAAATGTTATAACTTTCGCTATACTGTCCAGATTTTTAATATTATAGATTTGGTTCTAATTGCCCAATCCCTTTTGTCATGAAATTTCTTAGGTTTATTAATTTTCTTAATTGATAGGATTTCTGGTCGACTGTAAGTCTTATAACCGATTATAAATCATATCAATAAACAAACATCGGATTTATTCGGTTTTTTCCAATTATGTACTCTATGTTTACTTTTAGAAGTTGGATGTTTGGCGTGAAAAACGTCGTCAAGCCTTACTCACTGAGGCAACAAAATTTGCCTTACTTCAAGAGCGTGAGAGTAGGGAGAACGAAAGACGTAAGGAAGAAGTAAAAGATCGCCTTCGTAAAGCCAAGTAGGTGAAATGTGTAGTTGTTCAACATTTCCTTAAAATATTTTCTTATCCAAACGATTGAACATAATAGGGCATTAAATAGTTCATGGAAATATCTGTACCAAGACTGGTCTCCGGCGGCCTGCTTGATCATCTGGGCTACCTGTTCCTGCCATCTAGATATTTCAACAAGTTATCTATTTTTGTTTGTTTTAATATATCACTATGTTTATTAATCGCATAACCTATTCTGCTGCGTTTCTGAAAAGTGTACAACCTTTAGTTGTTAAAGTTACAAAAAACTCAAGAGAAAATGTGGTTGCTGGCAATGTACAACGAAAAGAATGCACATCAGTCAGATGTTCATTTACTGAACTGCTAACATCTAACTGGCAATCACTCAATATTTATCGCCAGGACCGACCAAGAAGAAAGAAACGGAAACTTGTTGAAATACTTCACGCTGAGAACTCTATATTGTACCGAAAATATAATATTGAATAAAGCTGATAATAATAATAATAATAATAATAATAATAACCCACCCTAGTGTTCTCATAAGCGTTTATTACAAGTTTATAGTTTACAAGGTTTCTCGGATACGGTAAAAAGAATAAATTAGCAACTTGTTATAGTTAAGAAGATATTTGAAAATAATATAAAACTATGTGTTCATTCAAAGTTATAAGTTAGTAGAATAAAGTTATTGATTTATAAGATTTGGAATTATAATCGTAGTTGAAAAACATATTAAGCCACTTTCTTTTGTCCGGTCAGTGTAATTGTCATCTGCCAAGGTTAGGTACCTCTATTCCTTTTGTGTTCTTGGATTTTTTGTCACATGTGTATGTGAACGAGACTGTGTTTGTTAGGTTTCGCCTCATCGTACGAATGATTTTAGACCAAGAGAATGCTTTAATAAAATATTCATTATCGATAGTGTCATACCTCTTCAGATTTTTTCCTGTCTTCTTAATCATGTGGTCAATAATCCAGACCGTTTCATTTCAATTCTTCACACTACTGTAGTTATCAAATGTTGAATATGATATGCATTTAGTAGTTGACGCCTTGCAACTGACTATTTTCATTATTTTTCTTGCAACCCTAGAAGCCAACGTAATCTAATTTCCAGTGGACATGTTTCCTCCTTAGATTTAGCTCCACCACCAAAAATAAATAGTCCTGGCGTCGCATTACTAACAGGTAGCGATTTTGATCCGCTCACTTTCGGTCATTTTGAAAAAAATCAAATGGATACAGTCTCACCATCACAATCGGTTTCTTCAAATAAATTTCAGTACACAGATAGTTCAGATCTTTATAAGTCAAATGACTCCGAGACTAATTTGAAGGCCTACTCCGATTGTTCTTCACCTGTGTCTGAACTGAAAACTGAAGTTCAGGTAAGTTTTTTAAGAGTCGGTTTTTTATTCCCTTTATGTTTTTTCCTCTCTAGGCGTTTTAATATGTGGTTGTTGTGAGCATTCATAAAGATCGGTCTCATAGTCCAACTGGGATAGTCCGTTGACATTCCAATCTGATATACATAAGATAGAAAATTAGTGACATATTTTCCCGTTAGGCCGTTTGAATTCACAACAATTTTACTTTGTTTCATTCTTATCTCAGTTGAGAAATGTTATGAATGTTTAAAAAATTGCAAGCACCTTAGCTTAATTTGGAAGTAAAAATAGTCAAAGTCAATCGATTACATCACTACATTTTGAAAGTCTAATGAAAGATGAAGTTTAACTAAAACCATGCGATATACGTACTCAGTACCTTTCGAATAATTTGATCTTGTATTTACTCATCGATGTTTTTTGTCTGAAAATGAAATAGAATTGTATCAATTAATTTTAATACTAAAAAAATAAGAGGAAGAACAGGTAATGAGAAAGATCAACAATATTTAAATGAAATTACAGGACCAAAGTTTTTTAAACAGGTAAAGGGGGTTAAACATCCATCTCGTTGGTTTCTCAACAAATTGAAGCATGCTTCACCGACTGTTCCTACTCAATGATTTCTGAACTCTTTGCTGATTATTTCTATGATTGTGGATAATGATGGTTGTTTATCACTTATGATTATTTGAATTTCAGAAAAGAAAGAGTCTATTCAAGTTAAATCGAACAACCTAATTTTGGAAGTAGCTTTAAATCGGCCTTTAGCGAAACGTATTATACCAAAAACACTGACTTGGATAACATTACGAAATCTGTTCTTTGATACAACATATAAAGGATTACATTATCGTGGCATGTTTTCCAGTCAAACGTGTTTGTGTTTGTAAGTATATTGGATGAAATAATTGATATATTAGTTCACTAATACTGTGACGAATACCTGAATAATTTCAAAACTAGTGAAATGTCCAAACTTTTATAAATCACATTGGTAGACGATTTTTCTCTTCTGTAGTTGAATGTATCTCAAAAATCATTCATAAAGTCTATGCGAAAACAGATTTCAGCTCCGTACGTTAAAAGCTATCATATATGCACGCAGACGTTTAGAGTTCCAGTTTTGAAAATATAGTCAGCTTTTTCTCATCTTTAATCTGCCTCGAAAATTTCCGTCTCCTTTTAATGGAAAAACTGGTAAGTTCGATAGTTTATCGAAATATTTAAAACAATGTAAACATATTGAAATTTCTTACGGATGATAATTTACCAATGAGAAGTAAAATAACGCTTAAGATAATCAGTAACTTTCATATTTTTATGTTTGTAGAGTAATATTACGGACAAAATAATGGATATTTCTTCTCCAAACAAAAATTCTGTCGAAAAATATGCCAAATGTAATCGAATTGAAGTAATTCGTGATCTCATATCTAAACCAAATAATTGCAACGTTGAAGTCACCCCGGAAACCAAACTGCCTTTTGATGCGAGTCTTGAAAATAATGACTATTCCGAATGCAAATTACGTTTGTCATCAAGACCTGGAGTATCAGAGGTTCATTGGGGACTAACAATAAAAGCACGAGGTCCTTCAAATACTTCCCCTTTTGTTGTTGAACGTGTTAAAATTGGTAGGTTTCTATATATCACATGTTTTCGTATATTACAGACATTTTCTCTTCCCATTCATTTTTACGTTTGAAATAGTATAGGATTGAGGAAGAAATTCAGCGAATTATTTATACAGCAACTTATTTCACTTATCTTATTCTCTTATTGTCTGTATACAAAGTTTATCACACTGTTTCCCACTTACATTCGTCATAAGCGATACCTATCGATGATTCCTTCACCCAAAGTAATTTATTTGCCTATCTTTACTCTAAAATTGTTCCTCTTGACTGCACGAAGAGTCGATCGTAATAATTTTCAATCTTTTAATTTTACTCAAAAATTTTTAATTCTTATTATTTGGTGGCGACTAGTAATTGAGTGGATACAATAAATTGGTTATTAGTGGGATTGATTTTTAGAAACAGTTTCTGATTTGATATGCCCCATATCTACTTTCGTTTAACTAGTTTTCCATTAATCGTAGTTCTCATACATAAAAATGGCCTAAACCCTCAATATTTGGAACTTACTTTTAGTAAATAAGTGACATAGATTAAAAGTGGAACACAAAACTCTCGTCCAACTATATTTGTAACTTCATCTCTTGGATTATGTCACGGTAGTTAACTGCGACGCGCAAATGTTGAGCAAGAACTAGAAAAATGTAGTACCTTCTATATCCTTTGACTGAGTTAGTCAGTAATACGCAACGTGGAACCTGGCACATGTATACATCGGTTCAGGTTTCCATTCCTCACTGACGTAGCAATCTGAAATTGTCAAGGTAAATTACAGAGTAGTGGTGCTAGTAACAGAAATTCAAACACACATAGGTTGACTTTCACATCATTCGTAATATGATCCATAGCTTAACCAAACTATAGTCTACAAATATAAAATGAATTGAGTGCGTTAATTAATTTACTTATCTACGAGACTGAATTAATGGGCTTTCTTTATCTACACTTAGATCTTGAGTACAGATTTTTCGCAATATATCCCTGTGTATTAATTTTCTCCTTTAGTGCTGTTGAAAACGTTTGGTAACTTTGATGTGTTTGTTTGTTAGTTCAGACATTACTTTTGTCTTTTTGCTGACGCCTTGTATCATGATATCCAAATTACACTAGATAGCTTTCTCCGTAGTTTCCGATCAATTTTCTGTTCCCCAGTCTACCTGGTGACATATTCTGCTTGCAATGACTACACGACTTTACTTTTTCAACCTGTTTTTCAGTCATCATTAGAATATTTTCAAGTATATAAAGCTGTCGAAAGGAGTTTCGCAAACTTAAATTGCACAGTCGGGTTTTAAAGGTGGATTTAACCGAAGCAAACTAATTGTGACATATCGCATGGATCTCTGTGACAATCTCGGTAGGGAGTTAACTGCAAAACAACTTTAAATTACTGTTGTCGTATCATTAAAAGTCTATTGTCTGTTGTTTTTACTTCAGAAAGCGTTAAACTTTTCATGATATGGATGTTACATTTTTACCATTTACTAAGTTCTTTCTTTTCAGTAAAAATCTAATTGTCTCGTAAGATTGATTTCAATGCACGTATTTAAATATTGAAATTTACCACCCTTACTTAACTGTGTGGTCATTTTTTTTCATCTAAAATGTGTCAGGATTAGCACTAACTTCTAAATATTTCCAAGCTAACATTTTGGGATAAAATTTCACCAAATTCTGGACTTACTGTACAAGAATCTTCTGAAAAACTAATTTACTGTAGGGTTCCTTCAGCGTTTCATGACGTATTCCCCCTCATCTTTGTGTTCATCAGCACACAATATTCCAAACTTTGTGTACGACTATAATACTTCATTATGTTCCTGAGTTTTACTATTTTACTGTGTGTATCAAGAGACTACGTTATGTTATCATTCGATAAAGAGAAATATCCGTATCTTATTAGTGTTAGGGGGGGTAGTGGAAATTGCAGAATTTTCCTAGATCAAATTATAAACCGATCTTATATAAATGACACTGAAGACCTCGAAGCACTGGACGGCCGTGTCATTTTAGGCACTATTGACATCTGATACCGGTCCACTAGTCTAGAGGTTAAGGGTCGGCGAGCAGGATGGCTTTTCAATGCTTCCAGGTTTTATACGTGGTCTAGCTAAGGGTTGTTTGTTATTTGATCTATATCTTAGTTTTGAGGACGAGTTCTTCGAGAATTTCCATTAGAAATGAAATCTGAGAAACCAAGTAACTAAAACCATACATTTTTTACATAATACTCAGGTAAGTGAGCTTATTGTAGCTCGTTGATAAATCAATCCATTCTATTTAACATTTCTTAAACATTCTCTATTCGTTTACGTTTGTTTCATTAACATGCAACATCTAGGTAGTTCAGCAGATATCTGTGAATTTCAAAAAGGTGACATATTGGCTTCTATTGATGGCATAAACCTGGGTACTAGTCGGAAGAACACTGACAAAAACACCAGTCAAGTTACAAACTTAGAGGATCTAGAAAACTTGATGGCTCGGTTAGTTTGGCCAACAAACCGATTACTATTCAGGTCTTCAGAAAAATGGATGAATTTGGTAGGAGCTTGTGGTATTTTTCTTAAGATGCATAACATTGTAACTGATTTACTAATTTAAGCTACGTACTTTATGTGTCGGCTAGTGTTACTGGCTGGTAACTCAAACCAAATAATGTGGAGTGAGGTTTGAACCTGCGAGCCACTGGTTAAAACCTGAATCTTTTACTGTCAAACATTATATACTGTTTTATTTTTACTTACTTCAATCCTTTCATTTTTGTTTGGATTTGTTATACAGTATAGTTAACCGTTTTGTGCATCCCCAACAACTCGATTGGCTTGTTTTGTTACACAGGAAGCATAAGAAATATTTGTGATAATTGATTTGTTTTGCCAGAGAAATCATGATATGGATATTTTAAAACAATATGAAAGAAATCTCTCGTTGTTACAACAGCTGAACTAAACATGAAGATGTACTGCCAGTTATTATAACCCTCTACGTCCTAGAAATTCACTAGACACTTGGATTCGGAGTTTTAGAAATTTATCCATTATGTGAAGCTTTCTTCTGATCATTAATTATTTGCCTTTATCTTAAAATCTTATTATGCTCTGCCTATACAATTGTTTCCTTTTTTTAATATTGTCACTTTGGTACTGTTTTTTTTATATTTAACGTTATTCAGAAAATAACTTAATTGTTATTACATTACCTCACACTTGAAAGGTGTAAATTCTGGATCACCATCTCCCATACCCTTAGTAGAAAAAAAATTTTTTATGTTAGAAGCAATCCAACTCCCTTTATTTCAATTCAAAAGTAATATATGGTGTCTGTGAATATCACTTGGTATTTCATCACTAAATATGTATCTATCATGTTAATTAATTTTAAACATTATTGATAAGAAAGACACTTGTATAAATTAACATAAAATACACTGATTTTTATGTAACCTTTCCGTTATTTATACGTGTAAAGTAGTGATTTAATTTATTCAGACATTGTCTACAGAATAATCTGTATTTTTAGGATGGAAGAAAAGTTTTTGTTATAACTGATAATGCGTCGCAATCAACATGAGATAATATAGAATGTTCTACTAATAGTCACTTACAAAAAATTAATAGAATAAAGCAAAATTTCTAATAAAATGCTATCAGAAGACATCACACAAGTCGGTAGTGAATTTTGTCGGTATTATTAGTAGAATAACCTATTGACTTCAACAAAAATCTAATTGACAATATTTGATATGACTAATAGTCGTTTTCGATTTTGTAACTATTTAAACTTCAAAACAAAATCTGAACGTATCCACAAACGTATTGACTGAAATCTAACTATATTACGTCAAAAGTTATTTCATTAAATTTTATATTTGTTAATTAAAATATATACTTTGTTAAATTTATGTTTGAAAGACAAAAGTAATACATCTCTCTATTTATATTTCAAAACAGAACTAGGTATTTTATATTGAAGAATTCAATCAGTCGATGTTTTTTTAAGTCCATGAATTCCTATCTGAATTGATCTCCACTCTAAGTTGTTATAGATTTTGGAATACCCTATCAACGCTCTTTACTTAGATTTGTTTTTTTATTAGAGTGTAATTACCTATATTTGTACTATAATCATTAATTGAGATTTTGTTATATATTTTATCGGTTCATGATAAATTTAGTTTCAACCTACACTAGTTTACTTTGGTAAACTTGTCATCGTACTGCTTACAATGTTTTTTATAAGGGTTGTAACTAAAACTAAAGTAGAAATTCGTCTCTATAGGAATTGTTATTGAAGTGCTATCGACATAGTCTTAACTCTTTTAGGTTTCAGGAAGAAAAGCTATTATAGGAAATTTATAAATCCACTAAGGAATAGATAAAAAAACTTAGCAAAGAAATTTTTCTGTGGATTCATTTTTAAAAAGCTATACAGCCGTATTTATACCAGATAATTAATGTGATGAACAAGTTTTGTGTGTTAATATTCATGTTTCTGATGAGTGAGGATCACTTGAAGCTAATTTTATTGATAATGGTTCTCTCCCAAAGTTTATTGAAATAAGCATGAAAAATACTAGGGGTCATAAGCATGCAGAACGATAATATCCATATTGATCTGGATTTTAAGGATAATATTGCGGACAAGATCTTGATTAATTGTTTGATTAATCCATCATGGAAAACATTTTATCTAGTTCCTATGTGAGTTGTCTACACTATCAGCTTATTAGTGCACATATATGTAAAGGACTAGCTCTATCGTTTGATCTATTAGACATGAATTCCTTCATTCATCTTCACCGGCGGACCTAGGTGCACATTTCTTTTATCAAGGAGAACCTCCCAACGCATTGCTGGGCACCTGATAATATGACTCTGTAAAGGACAATATGAAAGTATGTGAGATCGTCTGTTCTCTAGCATGTAGGTGATGATGATCATGCAGTATCAGACTCAGCGTACAAAATCATTTATAAAATCTAATCGGTTCTACCGAAACGCCTACACACATCTTTATATTACAGAAGCATTGGAAATGCTTAAGAAGAAGCTATATTTATGTATAGAAAACTATTTCCGAGATCTCTTTCTATGCTGTAGCCTGAGTTTGCTCTATATTTTTCTTTACACACTACTTAATAAAATTTTTTGGTTGCTGTTTATTACCCTCGTTTTTTTAAGTCACATGTTATATAATCTACTTTTTTACATCCGAATATATTACACCAATAATTTATTCATTCTATCTATTATCATATGATCACTCACCTTTAATCAATTCCTGTCCTCATTTATTTTGACCTCCATCAATCTACTTGAAAAATCATACCATATTTCTAATTTTGTAGTTGTGTCTTTTATGTCCTGTAGTTACTAGTCAGTATGATTATTCATTTATCAATAATTAATCGGTTTCACCCATTAATACGAACTAAACATGATTCTCACCCATTATACGCAGGCATATTAATGTAAGGTGCTTATTCATCACATAGATTACCTTTTATAAATACAATTATGCAGGTTTTGAAAATGAAATTGTTAAAAAGAAAATTTTCTTTGCTGAAATATTTATTTTGTTGCAGAAAAGCTTTTTGAATAATAATAAAAGCGAACTATTTTTCTCATAAAATGTTTCGAATGAACTAAACATTTCAGATGAACTGAACGATGGCGAATCGGATACAGGTGGAGATTTTTCTGTCGAATCAGCAGCCGTGAAATCCAAACACACACCAAGTAACATTAGTGATTCCGATAGTGAATGCCATGAGTTACTTGTTTCTCCTGTTGTCAAGGTTTCTCACAAAACATCTCCTGTTGATAGCCCAGTTTTACAAAGATCTATCACAATTACACATTCACGTCATAGGTCACCTTCCCGAAGCTCAATTCAAGTAAGTTATCCTTGGTTGGTTAATACACTCGTTACTTACTTAATTACTTACTTACTTACTTACGCCTGTTACTCCTAATGGAGCATAGGCAGCCGACCAGCATTCCCCAACCCACTCTGTCCTGGGTCTTCTTTTCTAATTCCATCCAATTCTTGTTCATTTTTCTCATGTCTATCTCCATTTCTCGCCGTAATGTGTTCTTTGGTCTTCCTCTCCTCCTTTGTCCTTGAGGATTCCATGCGAGGGCTTGTCTTGTGACACAGTTGGGTGCTTTCCTCAATGTGTGTCCTATCCACTTCCAGCGTTTCTTCCTAGTTTCTTCCTCCGCTGGGATCTGGCTTGTCTTTCCCACAGTTGGTTGTTGGTAATAGTGTCTGGCCAACGGATCCGAAGTATTTTGCGTAGACAACTGTTAATAAACACTTGTATCTTCTGGATGATGGCTTACGTAGTTCTCCAGGTTTCCGCCCCATACAGTAGAGCTGTCTTGACATTTGTATTGAAAATCCTAACCTTGATGTTGGTTGACAGTTGCTTTGAGTTCCAGATGTTCTTCAGTTGTAGATATGCTGCTCTTGCTTTACCGATCCGCGCTTTCACATCCGCATCAGATCCACCATGTTCATCAATGATGCTACCCAAATAATACACTTGTTATCTTCCTGCAAATAGTCGATATATACTACCAATAATGTTTCATAACAATGAACCTTTTACACTAGCAGGTCTGTTTCCTACTTATTTATAATCGTACTGAAAAAAAGCTTAAATACTAGAGGATCAAGAAATGCACCATAAAAATAATATGGCAGTGCTATGAAAAATCTGAAAGAAAGCTTTTCAATCAACTGTTAAAAAAAGATAAATTGCCACTAAAAACTGTTAGTCTATCTTTTCGTATTAACTTTCAAGTTTCCAATCATTCTCATTCCAATTGCTGTTACATTATTTCTTGAAATTCATCTTTTCAGTTTCGTCAACCTAATACGATCTCGCAAATTCGAACAATGCTAATCCTTACTATGCTCTATTTCAATAAGTGACTATTTACTCTAATAAATTATTAAATCATTCTATCTTTAAAAAATTGTGGTTTACACTGTGTATCGTTCTCAATGTATTGTACTTCTTTTCTATTTTCTTGACATGAGTTTAGCACCAGCAACTGTTACTATGATCTATTTATGTTATGCCTGGTTTACCCGCTGAATTATATCACACGTCCAATCACTAATCATAATCCTAATTCTAATTTGGCCTTTTATTTACTCTATGGTTTGGTGTCTCTGACTTAACCAATTACACGCCCCATCAGCACCATTAACATTCAACCGGCAGTTAAGTTTGTATTGGTCCGTCATGCATAATGTCCTCCCTATACTCCAGCCTTGAATCCATAATTCAACACCTAGCCTCTACCATATCTGTATTTCAAACAAACGTGGTTTATATACAGACATACATAACGGAACCACACCATAATATAAAAAATAACAATTATACATGAACAGGCTAAAAGTGGCTGTGAGTAGAGAAGACGGTAAATAATAGACTGGCAACAAAATAGGAATAGTCAGTCGTATGACATTAGTTTATGGGTTAACCGAAAGGTAATGATAAACGGAGTACATAGATATAGTAATCTAGTTTCTTAATAATCATATAGTAAGAATATATATATAATGATAATAATCCAGAAATTAGTTCTGGTAGCTACCATTCCTTCAATCTTCGTTCTGACATAGCAATTTTATGAGCAAGTTGATACCCTATATTAAAACATTCTGTCAGGTTTACTATCACTGATACTTTCCGTGAAAATACTGTTTCTAATCACTTCATTTTTATCTTTTTCTTGTCATTTTATCAATTCTTTAAAGATTTCTGATGACGAAGTTAACAATTCATCTGTGTCATCTAACTCCGAAGTAAAAGAGTATGTTACATTCAAAATGAAAAATTATAATATTTATTTTATATAAAGATTCAACATGTATTTTACGTATGCTTACTGTCAATTTTAGTTTATTACTGCTTAGATATAAACTAGAATCTAAGTAGCTCATATTTTAGGTAAGCTGAATAGTTTTTGCTCTCTTTTCTAACATGCTCCCTCCCTGAAAAAATGATACTATTAAATCTTGTCACTATAGGTTTGTGAATGATTGGTCGAATCACTTGATTATCATTCGTTCTATCACGAGTTCAAAGGTACTCTATTTATTTAGGTCTTACAGTCAGGTGGTATTGCTCTTGCTCGCACGATAATAAGGTCACCGTACATATGTGCAGGTAAAAAATTTTGAATTACGCTAATTTACAGATTCAGAAAAATTCATTATTTTATCTCTTACTCTGTTGCTATTTCAGCTCAGTTTTGTGATAATCCATCAAAAGCGTACTTTAGCATTACATTTCGATATATTGTTAAAAACTGGATTTTTATAGTTACTAGAAATAATTTTCATCAAACCCCATTATAGAACGAATTTCGTCATTTAATTTTCATATGTGTATCGATTCGTTCAATTATGGAGTCAGTAAACGAAAACCGCAAACGTCTACATGTAATAACTATCAATGTCCTTTATTTCTGGATGCTATTTATGGTTTTTGACTTGTGAATCAAAAGACCAGTCAGTCATTAGTAACGTAAAAGCTCTACTCAAATATGCATTCTCACACGTTGTCACATTACAACAACACAGTGAGATAAAATTATCGCTATAAATGCCGAAACAGTAAAAGCAGCGTTAATGGCGATACCAATGATCGCAAAAAAGATTGGTTATGAAAAATATAATTCGAGAAGAATGAGTTTACGTAATAAAAAGCATAAAATTACTTTAAATCTGTTATAACTTGTGGCCTTGTGCCCTATTATTATATAAAACGTAATGATACCGCCAATTAGAGAACAATGACCTATCGGTCGAACCAATGACGCATAAACTCATACGAGCAATCTAGAGTCCTTATCGATCCTTCTTCCTACCTAGCCCTACTTGTTGAGTCCAGAACACAAATCTCAGCCTCCGCGATATGAATCACATACTGGGTTTATATACAAGCCAAACGACGACATCACACCATAAAATGGAAAATAACATTTGTACAAGATCTAGCCAAAAGTGGCTGTAATTGTGGGAGACTGTAAGTAATAGACTAGCCATAACTTACGAATGGTAAATCGTATAGTAGTAGTCTATGGGACAAAATAAAGCTTATAATAAGAGAAATGTGAATATACATAGTTTAGTTACTTAACAATTATACAACAAAAATATATTTATAGTATTAGTAGTCCACAAATAGATCCCAACAGTTACCATTTATTATTCTCGTCGGAATATAACAAAATCTCAGGATGTAAATGTATCTGCTTCACCGTTACTGATGTGATGCTGAAATCTCGGATAAAATCCCAATAGTACAAAAAATTTTCTCTCATCTACTTATTACATAGGAGTTCTTGTCGTCACAATACTTTTATGTTAGAAGTTACAAATATAACAATTTTTATTTGTGCCAGATAATTGACATTATCCTACCTCACTGATACTTTTTGCACTCCATTTTTAGCTGCACACAGTTCAGTAATATTATATGCTTAACTTACTCATTGGTTAGAAATATTTATTTTTGCGCCAAAAGCCTTTCTGTCCATTATTTAATTTAATAAATATACAATATGTTTTTTAATTGGTCTAATTAGTTGATCAGACAACAACTATTTCTACTACCCAGCTAGATTCCACTGGTATTTAAGAGTGTAAATATAACTATTTTTGGAACATTTCCTATATTTTTAACTTACCTTTTGTGTTACTGCCCTGGTACAGCTAACGAAGAAAAAAGTCTGCTCTCCCGTTCAGAATGCTACCATGCGACCTTTTGCCTATAACATCTACCAGAGAAGTCCTACTAATTGCCTTCAGACGGTGAGAGTATTGTTTAAAAAGTGAGGAAGCGAAAAGCGAACACCAGGCTCTTAAATCGTTTTGGTGAATAATAAGGGTTCATGTAAGGGAGTTGAGAAGCCTCGATTTCAGACAAATTGTGAATACGTGCTTTAGAAACCTGAGGGAACAAATGGCTTATAAACCTATTTTTGCCACCGGCTCTCGTGAGGCGGTATCTCTTGACGATACTCCATCTTCTTTTAAATTAGACCTCTAGGTTAAAGACTTTGAGAATAGCCTTCGAAGGAGATCACCTACTTCTGTCTAGGCACCCAGACAGTATCACGGCCCACACAAAACTTTTTAGGACATATTATTTTTGGTTCTCGGCTCTGCCAGATTTTGTATAAATTAAATAATAATTTCACTGAAATCTCGAACTGGTCAATGTTCGACTATTATTGAACACCCAGAAGCACTGGACGACCGTTTAATCCTAGTATAAGACTCCCTCAAAGTGCGCATCTACTACGACCTCGCGTACGCTAATCTAACCCAGGACCTTCGGTCTTGCGCTCCAACCCTTAACCTTTAAACCACTGAGCCGGCGTTCAACCGTGTTAATTCCTAACTTCAATAATCTTCACAACCCTATACTAATAAACAATAGTTAACAAAATAGTTTCTATATTTTTAAACTATACCTTTGTATTTAATTATTTTCCCAGTCATTTTATCCTAATAATGATTATTTCAAACTTCAACATTGTTAAAGTAGTAATTGTGTACGCTATAATTTTCCCCATATAATAGATACAATTGTCTAAAAGGGAACTTTAATATTTCGTCCAAATCAATTGGTTTAATTTCTAAGAATGAGATTTCTCCATTATTTAAATCAAATCAAGATAAGTCTAAAGATGAAAGTAAGTAAATTATTTGTACCATGGTTTTATTTCATTCATATTGGTATCATTATTTATCTGACTAATTGACTTTCCAATGACTGTTATGCACTGATGAATATATTGTTGACAAACCAAATAATCATTGGTTAATTACTTCCTCTGTTCATGTGGCTATTTTTATTAGCAAGTCAATGCTAAAATGAAGATTTTTACTATTTATAAGTATAGTGCATACATAACAGCATAGTACTTCAACTCGTTTTTTTTAATTTCAACAGGGTTTCTTAAAGTAACCAAAAATATTTTTGAATTCTGTCTGCGTTTTTTAGAATTATTTATATAGCCTTATAACATTTTCATCAGCCTGATAATTCACGCCCACAAGAAATGCGGCATCTCTGACACTATATCCGTCTTCAATAACTTTTTTTACGAGGCATTGTCTCTTCTCACTTGAAATTAATTTGTTTTTTCTATTCATCTCTGGCATGTAAGGATTATGAAAAAGATTTTTAAAAACGCTGCGGTTATTCCAAAAAACGTAGAAAAGAATTTTAAAACTTTTTTGGTTATTTTAAAAAACCCTGTTGAAATTAAACAAAAACGACTTGAAATACTATATAAATCTGTGTACGTGATAGGTTTTCAAGATTATCTGTTGACAATTCCAGATATTTTTTGCTCCCTCCTTACTGATTTTTCGTATGTAAGGACATAAATATTATTTACTAACCAATCTGTCAGCTTACATCGAGATGCTACTCATAAACCTCTTCACATAGTTATATGAAAACACATATATTGAAATCAACACAAGACTCTGATAGATTGTAAACTACATAATTTTTTCCTAGTAACTGATTGCCACCATCTTCCTCAATTCGTCATATAACTGCTATTAAGAACTAAGCTAACTTTAGGAATAAATCTTCCAGTTTAAGTACATAACTTGTTATTATCACTTATATATTCTTTGTTATCTCTATATAGCAAAAAGTTACCTTCCTATTCTTTCGATTTACATAAATAAATGCAACTTAGCATTTACAAAACATAAATGCTCGCATTAGTATTTCTGTCTAAACTATGTACCAATTGATCAATTCTCAATATAAGACAATACCTGCATAATGCTTTTATTTGAAAGTGTGAATAATAAATACTTTACTGTTATGCAACAGCAGTCTATATGACCTTAATATTTCAACATTTGAAATGTCTGTAATTCTTACCACCAATTTTGTTTTATCTTACTTTCAATGTACAGTTATTGATCTTTTTTCTCACTTTCTCCTCTCTTCTAACAATGTATACCGTCTGAGATTTCGCGTAGCTTTTCTGGCTGACTATTCTGTATAATTTTTGGGTTCATTTAAGGTCAGTCTGATCAAAATACATTACCTCATCTCTTACCACTTACATTTAATGTTTTCTGAAGATTTTTTTCATAAAGTCGTTCATAGATAATCAAACATATTCATAAAATAAGATAGTATTTTGTGAACATGTATATACTTGTTATCACTATATGAGAAAAAGTAAATCATCACATTTCGTCCAAGGTTAGGTTTCATATATATATAAAGTAGATTCACTTATACAAGTGATTAACAAAGTTTACTTCTCATCGGCATCAGTTTATGTACTGTGTTATTATTTTTACGATACCTCTGCTGATTTTCTTAAGTTGCTTCAAATGTTCTGATCGAAAAAAATTCTATGAACCTGAAGTTTCCATAAATCTCATCTTACATTGATTATCTATTAATTATTGGTCTTGATATTTCAGTTTTATTTGATGTGTGTGGTACTCAAATGCTTGATAATGACTTCCTAGTCGCTCCATAGTTCCGCACAATTCTCTTAAACTTGGTCCTCCAAAGTTACAAATAAAACACTAAATAAGAACAGAAGCTTTACTTCAATGTTATTTACTGATGTATGAATAGCCTCCACATTCGGAAGACTTCTGGAAGCATGCTAAGTTTAGTGACAAAGTTGGTATGAATTCTGGTTAGAGTATAGGACATAATGCTTCCTTTTTATAGAGGTTACTGGGAAGTTCTAATTAGGTGCTTAAACTCAATGGTTTTCAGCATTTCCCGTGTTTTCTGAAGACGTTTTCGGGGAATTCTTGAAGATTCCAAACAGATCTCTGGATTTTACTCGTAATCATTACTAATTAAAATTTTAAGGACATTGATGTACCATCTCAGTGTAATTACAGATTATATATATATATATATATATATATATATATATATATATATTGTTGAGTTACGTCCTCTGGATTTGGCAGTTCAACTAGGAACCTTTAATTGCCATTTTGGACAGCTTTCGCATTTACCGTACATGGAGCTGTTATAATTATTCCGCAAGCTCTAAGTCACCTTGTCCTATTCTCTAATCTTGTCTTCGGAGGTTTTATCAACATGATTTGTCTTTTTATTTCTATCGACTATTGTTCGTTTAACCTCTGACCATAACATCTACCTGGGCTAGAAATGTCCATCATTACATTCTATCTCTACCAATATGTATTTTGGAAATGTCAGTAACACTTTAAATCCACTTTTGTATCGATTATTATCATAAAATACCTAATAAAGATTTCAAGGTTTCGTATCTCTTTATGAATTTCTAATATTTTCACAAAATATCATTCTTTAATTAAACTAGTGCCATAAAAATAATATATTATTTGTCAAGTAAAATTTTAACACCAAACGAAAATCAATCTGTGCAAACTCGAGTAATTTACAGCCCTATTATTGTTTTAAAAAATATATGCACTAAGCCACAAATTTAGAAAGTGAGATTTTTACTAGAATCTATTCATGAAAAACGAAAAATTGAACGGTTTGATCGGACTTCGTAAATAAAACAAAAATCATTTGCATATTATATATATATATAATATTTGCATTTATTATCCTGTTACAATATACAACCTAATTTTTTGTGTTTTGCTATTTATCTATTTTCTTTCTTGTCAAAAAAAAACAAAACCTCGTTGTCCAACTTACGTTGTAATGATGGATGTACATGTATGTATGTGTATATAAACATATATGTAGTTTAGTTATATTTTAAATGTGTGTGTACATATATATAAGTGTTGATAGATGTGGTAAACGTAATAGATCTGTAGTTCTATTGCTCCATATGCAAAATATAAAAACGTAATTGTTATTGCTTTGTTTCTTCCATCGGTAGTTTTTGTGATTTTATCCTGTTTTATTTACTCGCTATGTTTGATATCCAAAGTCTTTTACTAAGTTTACATAGCACTTTCATTATTTTCTTTGCAAAAATATAAAAAAACATTGATATATTACTGTATTTTCAATGATTGTTATCTTTTGATGTGTTTTTCTCGTTGTGTCTTGTTTTTGTCATTCATGCACAATTATACGTACTTTTACTGTAGTGAAGTACTCCATGTTTGTTTTTCTATTTAGTCAATTTCTTCATAAATTCGTATTTTTCTCTTACAGTTGAATGGGTGTCCTCTGTTAGTAGTAACTAGATACTATTGCTACTTCAATTACTTTTATTGGTGCTTTCACATCAATTATATTCAATTTTAACTATTGTTATTATGACGTAATTTCGTTTACTTATGTATGTATATCTTTTAGTTTCCCGTCTTTAGGATTTCATCATTGTTAACATTATTCCTTTTTAGTGTATAAATACAGTAACGTCGTAGCAGTTGTTTTTTTATCATTATTTGGATCTTTTCCTATCGCCCTCATAGCTCTGGAGCATCGAAACCAGTACAAATCCGTTATTAGTCACTAAATGTATACAGTTTTACAATTACATGTATTTCATTATAAGCAAAGATGGATAGTGGCTAGCAGTGGAATCCAGGACGCGCGTTTCGTCCCGTTTGGGACTCGTCAGCTGGATGTACCTGCATCTCAGAGTTGATGTTCACTCTGGGACTCGAACTCAGTACCGTTCGCTTCAAACGCCATCGCGTTATCCACTTAGCTACTGAGTCCTGATAGCCACTTGCTTGTGCAATGGGGTGAAGTTTAATTCACTTGATATTGTTTTACTTGAATCTTAACATTGATGCTAGCCACTATCCATCTTTGCTCATAATGCTTGTAAATTAAGGCAATATCGAGGCATACGCACAGTATGCACATATGCCAATAAGAGACTGATCAATTTCAGTCCAAAAACATCAATGGGAAGATTCAAGTAAAAACAATACATGTATTCCGTTCAAGAGATGGATTAGAGTGTAACTTATAAATACATTTAATGACACACACTAATAATCTTTTTAAGTTTGGCCTAATGGGGGAGAGGGTTTCAAATTTCTCCGTTTCTCAAACGAATTTTCACAAATGGTTTATGCAATGTGTACACATCAGTTTTGTCTCGTACTCTAAAACTAATCTTGTTAGTCATTTACTCAAGTCACGTTTGAAAGCATCTCTTTGCTTGATGTAGTCTGCTTAGAGCATTCAAACTCGAATAATGCTCTCAATTTATATTGGTTACGAAAGCACACCATTTACCACAATATATAATTTTTATCTATGTACAGTTTTATAGTACACGGCCTTTTCATGTTGATACTAGAACACTACAACTTTTATGTTATGTGATCATTTTTCTCAAAACATAACTAACATGCCCGATTTCTCCTTTTCTGAATTTCATGAGTAGGTGCTTAAATAATCCTCTGTAAATATAGAAGAAACATTGTTTTTTTGCATTGAAAAATTTCCATGCTGCTAATTCTTATTTCTCCAATAAACAATTCTCTGTTATTTCATACGTAGAGTTGTTTTTCGTTCAAGAGTTGTACTCTAGTTACATTCACAAAAAATACTTAGTCTTTCAACTGATTACTATTAACAACCAATTAATTGTTGTATTTAACCATAAGTCTACTTATCTGCAAATCATCGAAGTGAAATAAACAAAAATGTTTTTTTGTAGAACTCATGAAATGTAGCTAACAGTGGAATCTAGGACAGGCATTTTGTCCTATG